CACCCCTGTTTTTTTCTGCCCCCCCCCCCCCCCCCCCCCCTCACGTTCATGATGAGGGAACCCCGATGTAACCTCTGAGGTCATTCACCACTCGCGAACCCATTCCTTCACAGCAAGCAGCTGCTCCAGTTCATCATGCAACGGAACGGATAATGGAAGGGCTCGGGGCATTAAACACAGAGCCTAAGGTATAGGTGCCAAGATGTCTGGCTCATGTAATTCTATGCAAGCCTTGTATTTCAGAGGTGCCGGGGAAAGGTGGGAAAAAAACGGGAGCACACACACACACACACATGCCAGTATAAGTATGCTGTACATGGATTTCTGGATGAAGGTATCTCAACTATTCACGTGTAAGACACATACATGCTGTGGGGGCCTCAACAAATGAACACCCAGGAATATGGATAATTTTTATTCTAGGGACACTTGGAGCTGAGAAGTCTGTCCTGACATCTGGACAGTGACTTAATTGAGATACTGTATGGACACTTTCTCCAGCATTTATGGGGGAAAATTGTAAAATTTTGTGGTAATTTTAAAAATTCTCATATTTCTTGCAAAAATTGAGCAATTTGAATTTCAGAAATATTATGAATAAGTTTTACAGCAATCACCCTAATTCATTATCAAAAGAGGCTAATTTTGTGCTTCTTTTTTCAGAGTTTTTCCCATTTTATTATGTGTGCATGCACAGCAGTAAAGTAAGACTAGTTCTTGTTCTTGATCTCTGGCTGATGCCAAAAGATGAGGTTCTGTTTGGCTTTTTTTAATGAAGACATTTATTTTCTGTATTTTGAATGAAGTTAAGAACAAAAATTATTCAATTTTAGGGGGACTGCTGTGTTCCTAATTTTTTATGAACAGGTGAACCAATTAAATATGTTCCCATTGAAGTTTACTAGAAAATGAGACATGACATGTGTATGTTCCAACAGGTCCAAATGCCAGTTATGCAGGCATCTCAGGTACTGTATGTGTTATCTGTAGTGTAAGACTGCAGACCCAGATTTTTCATCAGAAATTTAAAAAGAAGCTATATATCCCCACAAAAGATGCAACCCCCAATTCTCTGACAGAAACTTAAATCATTTTCAAAATTTCAGCAGGCAAACATGTGAATGGAGCCTAGATTGAAAGTACTGATGTGTATCCATTTATAAATGCATGTACAGTACTGAACAGTATTTACTAAAGTATGTACCATGCCCCCTTGAATAATTGATATATAGCCATGATTTTTACAAGAATATTTTTGAAAATAAGTGTTCCTAAAGAGATTAATATAAGTCATAGTGCAGTATTCTTATGTGTGTACTTCATTTTCAATATAATGACTTCAATATGCTTTTATTTGAGCCAACAGATATTTTTTTTTATCTACAGTATTTATGTTTTTAACGTAGTATGCTGTATTTTCTTGGTAAGTTTTAGTTTGATTCAAGCACAACATTCACTTGCTTGATTATTAAAATAGTTTCAACTGCATACCAATTGCACACCCCAAATATGCCAATTGCTTTTTGTTAGAAAAGTACACGTTGTACTCAATGATATACAATAAATATATGCCTCAATGTATGCAAGAAAAATCCCTGAACATAAAAAAGTGGGGGTTTAGCTGTGAGTATTATTGAATCCCAACCTTTTTTTAGGTGTCCCCACTTTCAGGTTTTTCACTACTGCATCTCATTGTTTGAGTAAATGAGTACCACCTGCTGAGCTCTGATAATCAACAAAAGGACTTTGATCTGGATTAATATTGGATTATTATAAAAGAAAAACATGATTGAGAATGTATTTCCAGCTACAGTATGACATCTGATTCAAATGGGTTCTACAGTATTCAGTACCGTACAGATGTATACCAACCTGATTGAAAGCCTGAATGTTCAATCAGAAATCTTAGCTTTATGAATATTATATAACGCATTACACCCACTATTGGAACCAAAATGAAGGTGGGATGATTTTCTATAATACAATGAATCCTAAAAGTTCCATCTTGTCTTTCTTAACAGAAATATACTGTATTCCCATATAGAGATAATGAAGTGCAGTCCATCATGCTGGTGAGATGATGAAGAAACCCTTGTGCATATTGGAAATGCTCTGAAGTGGAAAAAGAGGATGCATTGAAGCATGCAAAATGAGGGGCAAATGAACCCTGTTCATGAAGTTTCCAGCCAGCAGTTGGAAGCAAACAAGTTATGTTTTCCTCACTGATCCCAATTTAAATATTCATGCAAAAAAATTTCTGAAGCTCAAAAGTCACATACTTTCCATCATATATGTTTTCTGGTTTCATAAGAAATACAATTTTATCGCTTTGAGCATAGCTTAAAAGTTGAATACTGTATATAGTGTGCCAACATTCTCAACAATAAGATATGTGTTAAAGAATAACAATTAACACCAGTACAGGATATTGGTGTATTTCTTATTTGAAATAAGTAATGACGCATTTTTACACGCGTTGCATTCAATCTTCTGATATTCATTTTTAATGATTAGTTATTGCGAGGCATGCAAAGCTCTTAAAAAGAAATCAGAATGTATGTAAAAAAAAACAATGCCCAAAAATGGTTTCAAATACCGGTTGAAAAATTCCCTGGGTTTTTAACTTTTTTATCAACAAACTTTGGGTTTGGGCATCAGCTGCCTTGGTTAACAAACTGCCCTGACTTGGGTTAAAAAGTTTGCTTAATTTATATCTGAATTATCTGAATGGGTCAACCTTTTTTTTTTTAGAAAAAGCCTGTGATTTCTAGCTTGCACAACACAATTTATATTTTTGGTGCATGGATAAATGGTGTTTCACTCTGAAATTAAGCAGGTAAAAAGTTTTAATTTCAAACTTTTGATTTTTTTAAATGTTTCATATGAGCCAGAAAATTGCACCATGTAAAATAGTAAGGCTAAAACCCAGCTGCATCATCACTGGCAATTATAACTAAGCATTGAACAAATAAGAAACTCTTCATTTTATGAAATGAGTGCAAAACTGATTGTAAACAAGAAATTTGCACTTTTAAATGCTGAATTATCCGAATGAAAATTTCCTGGAAATTTAATTTAAAAATAGCAATTGCTTGAAATATCATGAACAAATTTTTTTCATTTATTTTATTATCCTTTTGGAAGGGGCCCACTCCTTCCAGGTTCAAGGCAAGTTAAAAAAAAATTTAAGGGGACAGCCAATTTTCAGAACCACCAGACAGCGGAGCCCTCCTCAAGTGCGGGGCCCCCTCAAGCGCGGGGCCTGGGGCAGCCGCCCCTCTTGCCCCACCCTAAGGCCGCCACTGATTATAAGCATTGAACAAATAAGAAACTCTTCATTTTATGAAATGAGTGCGTTTGACTAACATTTGTTCTTTAAACGTGAAAATTTACGACTTAATAGGCTTACTTTTAAAGGACCTTTAAATTAAATTTTTATCGTTAACGAACTTTATAGTACTTGTTTAAAAAAAGTAAATAAAATATAATTTTAAAAATGTAAAAATTATCCAAAAGTGGGACTTTTCTCATATCCTTTAAAATTTTAAATTTTTAAAGGGCTGGTCTATTAGTTGTCTTTTAGTGAGTTTCTCAAACTTCAAGAAAAGCCCTTGCATTTTAATCCCAGTAAGTATTTTAAGGACAATTTGTCTTAGTTTTCATAGGCAATACTTTCAATGTTTTGGAAACAATTAAAATTATTTCTGAACTTTCATATGGGAAACTTTCATTTGGTTAACAAAGTATTTGGTTTGCAAACTTTGCTCAGGAATGGATTGAGTTTAGCCAAGACCCCGCACTGTATGTTCAGCTGATGCAGCATACAGTATATCATATGACCTGCGGGGTTTGACTTTTGTTATTAATTTAATGCCTACAATTAAATCCTGAGAAACGGTTACTTATATTTGAACAAGTTTAAAGTAAACTTTTAAATTTAAGACGTGAAACTTTTTGCGACTTGCGTATAATGTGAGTAATTGTAAATCGTATAATCCTGAAGGGACTTTCAAGGGCGATTGGGGTGCGTACTTTTGACTCTGAGCACTGTGATATGTTCACGTCACTGCCATACGGAAAGCACAAATGGAGATGTTCTCCGAATCACGGCCCTCGTTGACACAAGGAAAATCCTGAAATTTTGACTAAAGTTAGTGAATTAAGTTGAAAGTTGTGTGATTGGGATTTCTCGGAGTGGGCAGGAGAAAACGTGTCATATTGCAGCAGTGATGTTCAGATTCATCCATGTCCATTGAGTGGTTTCTCTCTCAAATCTTCCTGAGGCGCTACAGAGCGTATGGCATTTGCATAGACCGTTACAAAGGACTTGCTAAGCCAACTATAAACCCTGGTGACAATTCAAAAGCTCCATAAGTACATAGAAAAGACTTATAAAAAGCCAAACGTCATCAAATCGCTGATCCGGCCAATCAGCGGAAAAACCTGAGCCCAATTGGTTTATGGCAGGAAACTTCTGGCAAAGTTCCCATTCGTGAGTAAAAAAGAAATTCCGATTCTTCCATACAATCTACACACTTTTGCTCTTGCATTTCCAGTCAACAGTGGATTTTAGAAAAGCAAGATCTTCTGAGGGAACGTAACATCGACTTGAAAGTTCTGTCTGAAGAAGAGTATCAGAAACTGATAATTTTCTTCTCAAATCGTGAGTATTTTTTTAAAGAAAAGCGCGCACTTCTAAATTCTTTAATCAATTTGAAAATTTTAAATACAGTCATTCAAGTTCTTGGTGAGCAATTGAAGCTCAAGCAGCAAGTTGTAGCGACTGCGACTGTGTACTTCAAACGCTTCTACGCACGAAACTCATTGAAGTGCGTCGATCCGCTTCTTCTAGCACCTACGTGTATCTTCCTCTCATCTAAGGTCGAGGAATTCGGTGTCATTTCAACCAATCGTCTGATCTCGACTTGTCACAGCGTCGTGAAAAACAAGTTCCACTACGCGTTTCAGCAAGAGTATCCCTACAGGTTCGATATTTTGTTCGTCATACCGATCAAATTTGTTCTCGGGACTGTCTGGAGATTTTGTTTCTCACTCGTTGTGAACGGAATGTATATGAATCTTGCAGGCAAAATCATATTCAAGAGTGCGAGTTTTATCTCCTCGAGAATTTGGATTGCTGTTTGATTGTATATCAACCCTACCGACCGCTGATCTCATTCGTTCAAGATCTTGCACCGGACAACGACCAGCTACTGAGTCTAGGATGGAAGGTCATTAACGATTCCTTACGAACGGATGTTTCATTGCTGTACCCACCGTACATCATAGCCTTGGGTAAGCTTACAAAAAATCAGTCCGTGTTTCCAAGTTGTTCGCCACTGCTAATTACGAGAAAATTTTCAAAATTTCCAACATGAACATGGGTTACCCTTGTCCTTACTTAGTATGATCACTGTATTCACGAAAATTCGCGGTGTTCTGATGCGTGCGTGGCCTCTTTGCATGGTGCAAGGGAATTCTGAACCCTCGAAGATGTAGATAAGGATTTCTTCGGGATTTTTTTGCGTTGTGCAAGTGGAAAATATCCGTTCGTGGTTTTCGAGTAGATCACTTATCGAAGATACACTTCGAAAAGAGGTCTGATTTTTGACAGTAATATGTACTTCGATCATTCGCAGGAAAGTTTTATGATTTAGGTCTTACATTATAAATTTACACTTTTACAGGGGCGCTCCACATCGCGTGCATCTTGTCCAATAAAGAAACCGCTAAGCAGTGGTTTGCTGAGTTGAACGTCGATCTAAATTCAGTTTTAGAAGTCGTGAGTTGCATTCTGAACTTGTACGAGTTGTGGAAGGCGTTCGACGAGAAGGACGAAGTCCCAAAAATCCTCGCCAAAATTCCGAAGCCAAAAACTCAACCTCCAAAGTACGTAGAGCAATCTCATTTCGCTTCTCTTGTCACGTACAATTTTTATTAACAAACTTTTTTTGCAGTGATCAGAAACCAGTTGCCTAAGCATGCCGGTTTTAGCCTCGTGATCAAGTTTTGAGGCTTTCACTTAGTACAGGATGGAGAAGTCCTTTCTCCTGGTGTTCATTGTAGTCAGTGTTGTGTTAGCTGATGTCGGAAACGATGACGGATTCGTGCCGGATGAATCCAATTCGATTTGGGACGAGGATGCGTTTGAATTCAAAACCGAAATCGTCCCGGATGAATACATCGTTACTTTTGATGGATATTACTCTGCCGGTGATCGCATGTCTTTTTTGGCGTCCTCATTAAAGAACTCTTCCTCGTGGCATGTGTTACCACGGTAAGTTACTCACGTGGACTGGAATATAAGTACTGTACTTTTAATTGCGAAGGATAAACCTGCATTTTGACTTCAACTTCGTTCGTCATGAGCTGTTGTTGACAAAAATATGGCTGTAGGAAATGAAATCTGTCATAAACGAAAGAATTTCTTGGCCTTTCCTGTTTTATTACGCGAATAAATACTGTAATGTAAGTTTCACAAAAATATTTTCGAACCGAAAGTCGGCCTCTTTTTTTTAGAATTCCATTGTTCTCTACAATGAAGACTGAAAAATCGAATAATACGACTATTCCTCATTTTTCGTAGCACTCTTTCACTCAATTTTTCGTCGTCTGAGGGACAATATGGCTGTACGAACTAAAATCTGTCATCAGCTAAAAAATTTCTTGGGCTTTACTGTTCTATACTTCTATCGCGTGAATAAATATTGTGATTTAAGTTTTAATAAAATATTTTCGAACAGAAAGGAGGCCTCTCTTTCATTTTACCATCCCACTAACTAACGCAAGAAGTTTTAGGACGGAAAGATCGAGAAATAACAGAATGACTTTTGCTCAAATTTCTTAGCTTATTTTTCACGCAGTTTTTCGCCCGTGTGTAGGACAAATCCAGCTGCGTTGAATTTCCCTTCCGACTTTGACGTCGTTGTCGTTCCTGGCGGAGAAGACTCTTACTGGTTGTTGTTGGAGCACAATCCAAGAGTGAAACACGTGACGAGACAACGACTGGTTGCCAGAACACTTTCTTCTGCTGGTCAGCGACAATTGCTCCGTTCTGCCCCTGCGAAGCAAATCACTTCTATCTTGGAAGCAGACACACTGTGGAAGTCAGGGGTCACCGGAGTTGGCGTTAAAGTAGGTTTTTCTTTTTTTTTCTTCTCAGAGCTATGAAATATGCGTGCCGATGCAAAATTGTGTAGTACAATGATCTGATGAAGGATATTTTTGATTTGAGAGATTTTCAAATTCTTGTCTGCTTGGCCGGCAATTTTGTGAAAATATTTGGAAGTTACTCGAAATATTTCATAGTGAAAAAAACACTTCTTTTGTGTCAGATTGACATTTTCGAATAATTTTAGGCCAGTGCTGCCCGACTTGGACGTGGCCAAGGGCCGCACTAATACATTTTTGTTGCCAAAGGCCATGGTGCAGGGGTGAGAGTCCTCTGATGTCCTTGCAGGCCATAAAATCATTTTTGAGGTGCCAATTTTTCCTCCTTCTGAATTACATTCCTCCTTCTGAATGTCAAGACTAAAATGTAATGCATTGCTGTACATTGAATGACAAGCATGATTTTGAAGAATTTTTGAAAGGTGGAACAGCATTTTGAATTTTTGAATTTTATCTTTTGATTTTTATTTTGGATAGTGGTGGCTACCACCTTGAAAATTATACGGATGAGAAAATGGGACAGATGAAGAATCTCTGTCGGCTGGATCTGGCCCGCAGGCTGTATGTTGGCCAGCATTGTAATTTTGGCGCTTTATTCCGTATATGGACCTCTATGGATGACAATGAGAATCGAGTACTGTAACTGGAAACCCTTGAAAATGCCTATGCTGTCGATTGTTGGTGGAGATCCTGCGAGTATAATGGGTATTCTTCCGTAAACTTCACTCCAGGGGGTTTCATGTTCAATTATTTATCGAAAATCTCCACATGTTTTTTTTTTTTTGTTGTGCGCCTTTTTTCGGAAAATTGTTGCCTTTATTCTCCATTCATTATTTTGTCATCAACTGGCAGCGTTGGTAATATTTTTTGATTATTTTTGAGGCATGGAAAATGTGGCGTAGCTTGAATCAAAGTCTCCATTTTACTCGGAAGAAGTCACAGAATCGTATTGATTCGCAATCCTAGAAACCTGAATTGATTTAATGTGGAATTTAAATAATGTTTCTCTTCAGGTTGCCGTGTTTGACACTGGACTTTCGAAAAATCATCCGCATTTCAAGAAGATCAAAGAGAGGACGAATTGGACCAACGAAAAAACTCTTGATGATGGCTTGGGACATGGCACATTTGTTGCTGGCGTGATCGCTTCTAGTAAAGAATGTCTCGGCTTCGCCCCAGATGCCGAAGTTCATATATATCGTGTCTTCACCAACAACCAGGTACATATTTTTTGCATGAACTAGTAAAAATGGGAAGTGTTCATAGTCTGTCGTACATTTTCAGAATGCAGTTGAACCTCAACGACTCGAACCTCTCTGAGTCAAATACTGTACCTCCCTAGGTCAAAGTTGTTTCAATGCCCTGAGAAACAAAGAATTAAAAACCTCCCTAACTCAAGCACTTTTCATCTCGAACCTCCGGAAGTCAAATTTTTTGAGGCCATTATTTTCTTAATGCAGGAAAGAGAAAAGCAATAATAAAGTAACTTGATGTGTTTTGAAAGGAAGTGAAAGATTAATTGGGCAAATGAACCCCGGCCAAGTTCAGCATGCTGTAAACTCATTTTCAGAAGCAATTGAGGACCCAGAATTTCACCACTTAAATTTCCTGCTACTCTTCTACGTTTCTCTTGACAAAAATGCCTGTTTCCCTAACTTGAAACCTCCCAAGTCCCTAAGTCGAATTTGTTTGCTGGTTCCTTGAAATTCTACTGGCCTGTATTTAAGAACGGAAACATACCAAAAATCCAAGTCAAGCTTTTGAAATTCGTAAGGTGGCGGATCTTTCAATGTCTTATGGAAATGATGCAGTGTAGTGAAAAAAATTTTGGGTATTTGTGCCTGGTTTTTCGTTTTCGGATTAATCATGTTGACAATGAACTGTGATTATTCATTGCTGGTTCCTGATTTTATTTCGTGTCGGCAACTTTGACGTGAAAGTTTTCATCAACACTTTTAGGTGTCGTATACGTCATGGTTTCTCGACGCCTTCAATTACGCCATCCTGAAGCGTATCAATGTGCTAAATTTGTCCATCGGAGGACCGGATTTCATGGATCGCCCGTTCGTGGATAAAGTATGGGAACTGACTGCGAACGGGGTGATTATGGTTTGACGGTAGCCCTTGCTGCCAGGAAACATGCCGTGGAACTTATTAGGACGCCTAGTCTACCTGCACTAGCCTCACCCACCGTAGTTGAAACTCCACTCGTAAATAAGGAACACTCTTAATTAAAAGAAATTAGCCCCGACTGGTCGATTTTTTATTTAAAAATTCTGAGTTTTCATTGAGGCGTTGAGAAATGCTGCGAACTCCCGACTGAGCCGAAGAAGTCTGTTTTTCTCCGGACAATTTTTCTTTAAAAATTGAATTCAAGTCAAAATGAGACCTTCCGATTTTGCAATTGTTCGGTTTATGGATATCAAATGAGCGTAACAAATATTGCATAGAAATTTGAAAAGCCTTAACCATTTGAGAGCCATGAAGTATATACTGTATTTTAAAGCCAGAATTCAATTTTCGAACTTTCAGTCTTCTGAGTTGTGGTAATTTCATTTTTTTTCAGTTTAATGATTCTAACGACCAGAAAACAGCTGGACCTCTTCAACTCAAACCTCCCCAATCAAAAATCTTTCGAATTATAATTTTCATTCAGTCCCTCTCGGAATTCTCTTAAAAGGAATGTTTACCTGGACCTTCTTAACTCAAAACCTTTCAACTCTGACCCTGTTACACTCAAAATTTTCAAAAATAATAAATGAATATGCAATTTTAAAGTATTTATCGTTGATAATTTTGTTGTTTTTTTTTTCTGCAGATCAGTACTTGACATTGTTCTTGAAGATCTGTCCAAAGTGTTCTCAGCTATCCTGTATCTCATCCATTTTCCAATTAGAATACAGCACGAGGAATAGAACACCGAATTTCGCCTCCAACCCTGGAAGTTTTTATGTTAATCTATTTTCAATTGTTTCACGTTTTCAAGTACAGTATTTATCATTGAAAATTTTTATTTAATCTACAGGACTTTACTTTTGAAAGCATAGTTTTCGAGTCCGAAGAGTTTTCATCCACCCATTTCTCCTGTCTTTTCCAATGAGAATAGAGTATGAGGAGTAGGATACCGAAATTCCCCTTCGGCTTAGGAAGTCTTCATGTTCATCCATTTTCAATTGTTTTTTAAAGGTTTCAAGTATTTATCGCTGAAAATTTATATTTTGTCTGCAGGACAATATAGCGAAGTTCTCGAGTCGCGGAATGACGACGTGGGAGCTCCCAGCTGGTTACGGGAGAGTCAAACCCGACATTGTAACTTACGGCTCATCCGTGAGTGGGTCATCCATCAAGGGAGAATGTAGGGCCTTGTCTGGGACATCAGTAGCATCGCCTGTAGTTGCTGGAGCAGTAACTCTGCTTGCCAGTGGGGTTTTGCACAGAGGATCTGCAGTGAACCCCGCCAGCATGAAACAAGCCTTGATGGCGTCTGCTCGGAGATTGTCTGGGATCAACATGTTTGAACAGGGTCATGGAAAGCTGGACCTGCTCCGTGCTTATCACGTGAGAAATCTTGGACTATTATACATTTGTGTAGTTGAATAACATCCTGGTGCCTCGAAATGTTTTGGAGTAAACTTCCGTTGCACCAAATCTCGTTTCAGCGAATTTTATATTGAATTGATTCTTTTTTCTAAACTCCAACAGTTTCTTAGTAACTAATTTTTTCCGGGTTGGAAACATGCAATAACCATGAATCTCATTGTAGCAATTTTTTCCAACACATTTTTTCTCAAATCCCTGGGAATTCATTCTCATGATATTTTAATGTAGTCCTAGTTTTGAAGAAAATGTCGCGTGAGGAAATTGTTTCCAAGTCCCAGCAGAAGTTTAAAGGAAAGGTAAAGAAAGGGGCAAGTATTTTTTCTGCATTGCGAAATACCGAATGAGCAATGATCAAATAATTGAACTTGAATCTGGAATGCTCTAATAAAACTCTTGTGACCAACTCGATTATGGGACCCGAATATCAGGGGCGAATGTGTACCAATTCAACTAACCCAGGCGAATCATTGTTCATCAGTGAGCCTCTTGAGACTTTTTTTTTTACTAAATGTCTGCCCGTTGTTGTTTTCCTCGTAAATTACAGGATAATTGTATAAATACTTATAATTTCCCTAAATGAGGGATATAAAGATTAAAATAGGGTATGGTATCGATAAATACCATTAATTTAACTCTTTTAGTCAGTTCGTGATGCTCAGACGATGTCCCGACGAAGACCCACGAAGGTGAATGCTAATTAAGCTCGTTCCCAAGTTACGTCTTGTCTGTGCTCACGTTAAATGAGTTTATGCTTATATCTCGGAATGACTCGGTTTTTTTTTTCGTGGAATTTCCCATTGATTTGTCGATGTTTTCAGTTGCTGAATACGTACCAGCCGCAAGCCAGTCTGAGTCCGAGCTACTTGGACTTGACCGAATGCCCGTACATGTGGCCGTATTGCTCGCAGCCGTTGTATTATTCCGGGATGCCGACAGTGGTGAACGTCACTATTTTGAATGGAATGGGGGTGTCTGGGAAGATCGTCGAACAGCCAGTCTGGAACCCTTATTTACCTCAAAATGGCCACTTTTTGAAAGTCAACTTCACTTACTCGGAAGTTCTTTGGCCCTGGTCGGGCTATTTGGCGGTCTCTATCTCGTAAGTGCTTCATGATTCTTTTTTTTTGTTTTCCTTTTTTTTCTTCACGTGCAAGTGAGAATTCGTTTATAGCAGTGGTTATTTTGATCCTTCGATGCTGGCAATTTATCAAATTCAATTTATTGGGAGGAATCATTAGTGTTTATCCTTTTTTCTCTGTCGAGTTATTTATTTTAATTCCTCGTGAAATTTAGTTTCTAGAGTCGTCGCTTTGTAATACCAATAAGTGAAGAGAATGGATTTCGTTGGTAAATGTTTTCATACAAAAATATGACCTGTGCAGAAAATAATTGAACCAATTCTTGGGTGGTTGACATTTTAATCCTGGTCCGCAGGATACTTTTAAGCTCGAACCCAGAAATAAATCTATCGAGTTTAATGCAAATTATGTGCTGTCTACGTTCATCATTTTCTGCAACAGATGAAATATTTTCTACAATATTTGTCGTCAGTTTTACAGTTACGGAAGTTGTTGTAGTGTGAGGATGTTCCAAAAGCGAGAATAACTGCATTTCTCGCGAGGAAATATAATTGAAACTCTGAAAGTAATCCCGTTACAGTTTTCTTTATTTAGGAAAAGCAATAAATTGGGAGAACGCGGAACCCTACAGTAATTTCACCACAGCAAAGACGTTCGCTGTGACTGGTTTTAAATTGTTGCGTTCCTACGTGAAGTCGGATCGCTGACATCTTCCAGAGAATTAATCTTGAATTTTTTCTTTTTTCAAAACTCAAAGGGTGTCGAGTGAAGCGAAGGGTTGGGAAGGCGTGGCCCAGGGCCATGTGACCCTAGTTGTTGAATCCCCACCTCTGGACGGAGAAACGGAGCCGAGGAGATCGAATTTGACGTTAGCGGTCAAGGCGAAAATTGTCCCGACTCCGCCGCGACACAAACGGGTGCTTTGGGACCAGTTTCACAACTTGCGTTATCCACCGGGCTATTTCCCCAGGGATAACTTGCGCATGAAGAATGATCCCCTGGACTGGAACGGCGATCATATTCACACCAATTTCAGGTTGGTGTAAAAAAAAACCTTGTATTTCTTACTGTTACGCGAACTGACGAATTTTTAATTCGGAATACTTTACAGTGTTCCCCGAAGCATACGATAAGTTTTCTTTTTTTTTTAAGCCTCGAGGTCTTAATTTGTTAAAGGTTTTTTCCGTAGTGAAGCCCGGAAGTTGTAATGAAAAAATATCAAATTTGTGTACGAATACAATCACGCCATTATTCGCTATAGCTGGAGTCCTTTTTCCTTCTATTTTCGAAGTTCCCGAATTTGTGAATTCATTTGTCGTAGATGTTGAATTTTGATGCGTCATATTATGTTTGAGTGAATGCGGTGTACAGTATTTGGGTGAAAGTAACTGATTTTTGGTCAAGCTACTTATTTAGTCGACATTTGCCTGTCACAAATTTTTGGATAATTATTCATAATACAGTAGAATCTCGTTACAAGTTACAACGAATCTATTCACGACGAATTGATGCTTGCAACGATTTTTTCGGTCCCTGTGCAATATCCACGATGTCTTTTTGATTTCGTTTCAAAGAATTTTCTTTTATAACGAAGCTTTTCTATGTCCCAACCGCTTCGTTGTAACGAGTTTCTACTGTATTTTCGCGTATTCTGCGAAGTTTAATGTTTTAGTGGGACTAATATTTTAATTTCGTTTCAAAGAATTTTCTTTTATAACGAAGCTTTTCTATGTCCCAACCGCTTCGTTGTAACGAGTTTCTACTGTATTTTCGCGTATTCTGCGAAGTTTAATGTTTTAGTGCGACTAATATTTTTTATTGCTTCAGGTGAACTCTCAGCAACGAAATTCGAGGGACCAGAAAATATTCTTTGGGGAGAAAACCCTATGGGACCAAAAAAATAATTTTTTTTCGACAGGGGAAATGGGTGTAGGAACTAGGAAGCGACCAACTTTGTTCTTTTTCAAACTATAATTTACAACATTCAAATCTAAAGTACTTTTGTTGATCCTTACGAGGGCTTTTGTTTGAGCTGGTTTTTTTTTCGATGGATGAGTCTTCGATTTCCTTCAAATCATCCTCGAACTCTTATTTTCTTATGTTTACGTCGTATTCTTGAGAAAACGCGATATTTCACGAATGATCTTCAAGCGTTATTTCAAAAGAACCTAACTCTTCGGAATATGGCATAATATTTGATGAAAATTAGCGGCGGATTACATGAACTAAAGGATGATTTGCGTTACTTTCCAGGGACATGTATCAACATCTGCGGAATGCCGGTTATTATGTGGAAGTGCTCGGAGTCCCGTATACTTGCTTCGATGCCCAGAATTACGGGGTTCTGCTGGTGGTTGACCCCGAAGAAGAGTTTTTTCCTGAGGAAGTTACGAAGCTGAAGCGAGATGTTGAAAGTGGTAGCTTGTCCCTACTTGTTTTCGCTGATTGGTGAGTGACATATGTATGGATAATCCGTGTGCTATACAGTACATTTTTTTTGGGTGTTCATTATAAAATATAGAAGTTGTTGTGCTTGATCACTTTCAGTAGCACCTTTTGTTTCTCGTGAAAATTCCATGACTAATGTGTCATATCTCATATGTCCCTTATTTTGTCTGACATTTGTATATTCTTCTTTATGTTTTTGGATATTGCTGTCTGAATCACGAATCTGACGAAGAAATACTCGTAATTTGAAAAAAACGTGACCCAACCGAAGAAAATTCTGCGTTAGTCGATCTCGGTACAGCAAATCTCGTCAAAACGAATCACAGTATTGATCACAAAGATTTTTTTGTTCCTGCTCAAAAACCAAAATTTTTATTTCAATTTCGTTGTCAGGAATGTTTGTTTATAACGGAGCTTTCTTAAGGCTCCGAACTTTTCGTTGTAGCGAGATTCTACTGTAAACGTGACCTAACTCATATAAAGGAAAGCTGATTTTCGTGACATCCCGCGATACCTTTTTTTGTTACAAACCAAAAATTGGTGTCGATGAAGTCGGAAATACCTCAAGTTGTAATATAATTTGTGACACTTTCCGGAATGAATTGCACGAATTTTTTTATAACGAAACTTTTTCAAGGTTCCGAACGCTTCGTTCTAACGAGATTCTACTGTACTGCGAACGTAACCTAACTCCTCTTAAGGGAAGCAAATGTGGTGAGATTCTCGCGACACGAATTTCATCGCAAACAAAAATACAAAAATTTCAAAAAATAATGATGACGTCGGGAATAACTCAAATTTGAATAAAATTTACGGAAATTTTCGGAATGAATTGCACGAATTTTTGTGTATAACGAAGCTTTTTCAAGGTTCCGAACGCTTCGTTGTAACGAGATTCTACTGCAAATGGAACCTAACTCCTCTAAAGGGAAGCAAATGTGGTGAGATTCTCGCGACACCAATTTCATTGCAAAAAAAAACGGTGTTGATGACGGGAATAACTCAAATTTGAATGAAATTTACGGAACTTTTCGGAATGAATTGCACGAAGTTTTGTTTACAACGAAGCTTTTTCAAGGTTCCGAACGCTTCGTTGTAACGAGATTCTACTGCAAATGTAACATAACTCCTCTAAAGGGAAGCAATGTGGTGAGGTTCTCGCGACACGAATTTTCATTACAAACAAAAATAATGTGTTGATGTCGTCGTAACTCAAGTTTAAAAAAAAATTTACGGAACTTTTCGGAATGAATTGCACGAATTATTTGCCTGCAGGTACAACACGACGGTGATGAAGAAGGTGAAATTCTACGACGAGAACACTCGTCAGTGGTGGATCCCCGACACCGGCGCCGTCAACATTCCGGCTGTGAACGATCTCATCGGCGTCCTGGGCATGGCGTTCGGGGACACCGTCCTCGAAGGCGAATTCAAACTCGGTCGTCACGCCATGTTCTACGCCTCTGGCACAAACATTGCCAAATTCCCCGCGTCCGGTCAAATCATTTCCGTCGACCTCAAAGACCAGGGCAAGGAAGTGCTGGACGGGGCTAGTGTGGAGGTGCCCAAGGCTTCCATCCTGGGACTGTATGAAAAGCCTGGTGGTGGCAGGATCGGTTTATACGGTGACTCGAATTGCCTGGACTCGGCGCATATGCACAAGGATTGTTTTTGGCTCTTGGAGGCGTTGTTGGATTTTTGCAATTCCGGGAATTTACCGAGCGTGCTCGGGGACATGGCGTCGAACGCGGACGCCGTTTTGCCGTCTGAGGGCGCCGACGTATGCACAAGGATTGTTTTTGGCTCTTGGAGGCGTTGTTGGATTTTTGCAATTCCGGGAATTTACCGAGCGTGCTCGGGGACATGGCGTCGAACGCGGACGCCGTTTTGCCGTCTGAGGGCGCCGACGTGAGACTGCCGGAGAGAATGTCGGGATCCCATTTGCACAGGTGAGCTGGGAGAAAACCCTTGTTTTGATCACCGGAAGAAAATTTAAATCCGATCGTAAGAAAATTATCAGGGTCTTTTCTAAAGTATTCCGAGTGGCTCGACAAATATTAGTGAGAGGGGTCAATTATTTTTGTGTGTGTTTCCTATCCTTTTGGAGTGACTCGAAATGTTGTGATTCTTGTTGTTGTCGGCGTTTTTTTCAACTCGTGGTTTTTTATTTTCGTTGAAATTACTCGGGATCATTGACGATATGAACTGCATTATTTACAGAAAAGTAACCATTACGTTATTCCAGCCACCCAAAATTTAGTAGTAGTTGTGTATGCTTGAGAAATATGTGTTATCGCCCATTAATTAAAAAGACCTGTTGAAAAATTTGGATGGCTTGAAACTACTGTAATATCATTCTCATAAAATCAAATTACAGAGTAACCTCTTTGAGGAAGTCCATTATTGGTGCTATTTTTCTTTACGTATTTCTTATCTAGTTTCGATAACTCCCATTTATTTAAAGGTGACATTTGCGAATTTTTCTCTGCCTTTCGAGCGAAATTTCAAAAATTTGCTTAAGAAACAATTTTTAGAATAAAGTCTCGGTTAATTTTTTTGTGTTTCCCTAAGACATCAGTCTGCTGAATCAGTTTTTGAGCTTTCTCTTCAGGTCTGTTCCACATCTGTAATGTTCTGTGTGGCGTTGAAATGGGGAAAGCTCATAAGTTATTTTCGGAATGTGTCTGCCTTCTCGAATGGCAAGATTTAAGACCGCGTTGCAGTCCCAGAAAAAAATAAAATAAATATCCAGCTTTCTCCATATTCTCTCGAAAGCTTTATGTTTACGGATCGTTATGGATGTTTTTTTCCAGGTACAGCAAAGTCTTGGAAAGTAATTTGGACAAGGCCCGACCGCGTCCGCTTCCTGCTTGTCCGAAACTCGTGTGGGCCAAAGCCGTGCCCCTCAATAAATCCGCCCCGTCGAACCTTTACAAATCTGCGAAACTCCTTTCGATTCACACTTCGAACCTGGACGTTTCTAGCCTCAAAATAAACCACATTCCGGGTTTGGAACCCTTGCCGGGAAACTATCTCGACTCTGACCTGGCCCTGATCGCTGCTGGACGACCAGCGTTGGACTCGGACTTTGATGACGAAGAAGCTTCGCGGAGTTCCAAAGGAAGATACATGATTCTCGGAGTATTCCTGGTGATCGTGGTTTTCGTTGTGTGTCAGTATTGGGACTCGCGGGGGAAGCCCAAGCGGAGAAAGAGCAGGATTTTAAAGCTCCTTCAGACCCTTGGCCACAAAGTCAGTGCAAATAGTGTTTAAAGAAACAAATGTTAGATATAATATGGAGTACTGTGTATCAACTGTGGGGTTTCTTGAGATCCAGCTCGACTTTCTCAGACTTTCTTCTCTTTAGTCAAGTCGGAGGTGGTACGAAACGATGTCTTCATCCGTTTATGACCCTTTTTGTCACACTTTGAAGCCGAAGCAAAAATAAACTTATTTTTTCTCCTAATGATCACACAAATGTGTTTTGCGAGTGCGACTTCGACTGCTTGAAAATAGATCACAGTAACTCGGATGAATCTTGAACATTATTTCGCTGCTGAATTGTTCGAGAATCGAATTCCATTGTTGATCACAAGCAGGTTTAAACAGAGAATATTCAACATTTTTTGTGTTATTGTTGAGAGAATGGTTTTGTTTCAACTTCGTTATCAAAGTGGTCGATAATTTCTGTCAGTACTTCTGAAGAACCATTTAAAACGATGCACGGTTAGGCTGAGGATCTCAAGCGTTCAACGAACAAAGCTGAATAAAATTTGAAAAAAAACGTCGCTGCATTTAAATATGGATATTCACTTCGAGTGTGTATAGTATAAATGCTTGGGGTAAATTCGTGTTTGTGGGTTTTCTTTTTTATCTTGTGGTGGGAGAGTTTTCAAGGTGAAATCTGTGATTTTTAGATGGTCGGACCTACAAAGCTCGAGTTTCAATTTAGTTTCCAAAGTTTCAGCTTTTTCGGGATTTTTTCTTTTTTTTTCGGGGAATGAAGCTGTTTGGATTTGTCTATCCGAATTGAAATTAATTTTGGTTCAGGATAGGTTTTTTTTTTTTACCTCGATTTTAGAGGTTTGTGATAAAAGATAATGCCCTGGTTCGGAAGACGCTCTCTTCATGCCAAAAAAAAGTACTTGCCAGACTTCACGTTTTTCTTTCAACCACCGTGTTCTTTTTTTTCTCATTCGTGAAAGCACGCGATTTTTTCCATGCTGAAATGTTTGTCTTTTGAGGGGGGGGGGGGGTTCTCTGGCATGTGATGGTATCCGGAATGAAAGAAACGTGGTTGTTGTAAAACTTCGAGTTGTTTGATAAGTTTTTTTTTTCAACGTGAGTGTGTGAATATTTAAAGATGAATGTTTGCCTTTTTTCTTTACAGAATGGAAATTCGTTGGGCTGTGTTTTTCGTACTTGTGATTTTATTTTCGTGTGCTGCAGCTTCGGATTCCGTGCTGGGATGTGGCGGCTACGTGCGTGCTCAAGGCGACCTGGATTTGCGCCAAGTTGTTGTTAAATTGTGAGTTCAATACCCGATTTCTCTTACTTTCGATCCAGCGCAGCTTGAAGAATTTTATTTTTGCGTTATACTGTAAAATCAACTTGTTTCATGTACCGTATTCACGCGAACATAAGCACCCCTCGAATATGATAACCCCCCTCTAGATTTTTCTTGCACAATATTAAAATTCCATAATAGGCAAATATAAGCACTTACTTATTTTCCTGGTGTTCTGACTATTCAGGAACCTAAAATTTCTGATTAAATTAAGGTTTTCACCAGAAAAGGAAAAACAGTGTCGCATAACCCTTGCTTTTCCCTTCAGTCAATAATTTATGCATTTTGAAGTGCTAAAAGCTGACCATTCCTTGATTATTTCTCAACTTCAAGTCCCCAGAAACTGAAGAAAGAAGTGATTGATCGTTCTGTGAGCCGCAAACACGAAGATTTAATGATATAAGCGCATTATTTACATATACGAATGGCTCCCCTCCCAGTTGTTGAACTTCAAAAACTGGAACAATAAAGAATTTAAGTATCCCTCTAGTTTTTGAGCTTCTAAAATTGAAAAAAAGGTGTTCTTATATATTTTTATTCGCATGAATACGGTATTCCGTGTATGCATTAATCGAAAAATTGTCGTTTGGTAGATGTTGGCTAGTTTCAAAAGCTGATGCATTTGATTATGTATCTTAGAAGAAACACAATCTTTCAGTCGATTCGAATATTTAATGATGTCAATAAAGATTTGAATCGTTTCTCGGGGTTTTTGAGTTCTGAATTTATCGTTTGTTTCTATCCGACAGGTTGACCAAGCAAGGAACACTCAAGTACGAAACCGATGTTGCGCCGAATAACGGGTATTTTTTCTTGCCTGTGTATGACAAGGCTGATTATGTTATTAAGGTGAGCGTGATTCATTTTTCCGCGAAATTTGTCTTGCACCGAAGTTGTGTAGTTTTCTGAATGCTAACCCGACTTTGGAATTGATTCTCCAAAATCCGGGTGAACGGAACAGTATTTTATTTTTATGAAAAGAGTTTTTTTTTCGAAGTGTCGGTTTCGAGAAGCTTCGATTGTTAGATTGCTTGCAATTACAATTTTTTTTTTTGCTGATTTACTAAAGATTTCTTTTCTTTTCAAGGTTGAGCCGCCAAACGGTTGGACGTTCAAACCGTCCGAGATCCCCGTGACAATTGACGGGGTCTCGGATCCCTGCACAACGAACCAAGACCTCAACTTCGTCTTCGAAGGATTTTCTGTGCTTGGCAGAGTCACGACGATCGGAACTTCATCCGGTCCACCCGGGATTTCCGTTGTCTTGACCGACAAGACCGGAAGCCAAGTTTCCCGCGTCACGACGATATCTAACGGAGACTTCATCTTCCCCAACGTGAACGGAGGAACGTATTCCATCCACATTGAACACGCTTTGTGGAAAACGAGCCCGAACGGGAAATCTAAAGACGAGTCCGTGGTTGTCAGCGTTGCCAACGGGAACGGGGTGGTTCCCTCTGGAAAGCTTTTCGTGCACGGCTTTGACGTTTCCGGTCAGGTGACGAGTGAAAAGGAACCCATGAAAGGCGTTAGCTTTTTGCTCTTTAGTGACTCCGACGTGAAAGTGAGCGATTGCGATGCGAGTCTGCCTGTTGGGGTGGAACCCGCGAAGGGGTTCAAGTGTCGCGCCGTGTCGACGGAATCTGGGAAATTCGTGTTCCCCACTGTACCTGCTGGGAGGTACACCGTCGTACCGCATTTCGTGCTCGAAACCGGAGGTTTCTCGTCGAAATTCGACGTTCAACCCCGATCCTTCGACATCGTCGTTGTCGACGATTCCGTGAAGATCGCCGAGGATTTCATAGTGGCTGGTTTCGGGGTAACGGGTTACGTTTTGTCCTCGCTGAAAGGATCGGGTTTGGCGAACGCGGAAGTGTTTGTCGATGGATTGAAAGTTGGGGTTAGCGATGAACGTGGTTCCTTCAAAGTGGACTCTGTGAAATCGGGGGATTACGTAATGACTGCCAAAGCTGACGGATTCGTCTTTCCGGATGTCAAGGTGAAGATGTCTCCGAAAGCACCGGTTTTGCCGGATTTGGTTCCTCAGGCAGTGAGACTTTGCGGAAAAATTGGCATTTCCGCGTTGCCTTCTGGCGTGAAGTCGGACGAATTCAAAATTGTTGTCGAGAAAGGCGAGTGTTTGAAATTTGAAGAATCTTGAATTTTTTGACAGCCAGTAAATCTGGAAATTTCGGACTTCGATGTACAGTAGTGAAAATTCCGAATGCTCGAAAAAATGTGAAACTCCGAATACAGTATTCTGGTGTCATGATCGAAATGTAATGATGAAGCTGGGGCATTTTTTCAACGATTCCTTTTTGAGTGATTCGTTTGGGCCAGTGTTTAAGAGCTTCAAGTATAGAAAAGGGAGAACTCAAAGGAGCAAGTTTCAGTAATTCGACTTCAAGCTGAACTATTGCATCATATTGATTATTACATTCATTTGTGTCCAAATTTTCGTCCGCTGTGATGCTCTTGACTAATTTAGTACAGTACTTCATTTTTCTTGCTGTTGCTATGCTGATATTTTTTCATCTGTTATTTATATCGTGTTTCTTGTCCTACCTCTTTTTTTTTACTTTTTATTTTCGTCACTTGCAGCTCTGATTCTTGCTCTTTTGTGTGCATATTTTGTTATCTTGTGATATGATATAAAAAGGAGTGAAAATCGAGAAAGAAAATTAGGAAGCTGGGACGTATGAAAATTGTAAAATATGGCTACTGTACTGATTTTATGCTCCTTGACCAGGAAGAAAAAAACCAAGAGTTATAAATATCGGAGTTTTTAAATCATGAAACCTTAAAGATTGCTGATGTGGTTTTTTTTTCATCGTTATGCAGGTCCGATTTTACCCGTGAATGCCGACGGGACTTGGTGTGGATTTTTGCCGCAAGGTTCATACGTGATCCGAGTGGATAGTCCTGCGACTGCGAAGAATTCCGGAGTCAGTTTTGCCCCCTACGACAGGAAAGTTGTGCTGAGCGAAAAGCCGCTTTCGGGCTTGGATTTCGTGCAATTCAAAGCTGTGGTTGCAGGAAAGGTCTCGTGCGATTTAGGCAACGGGGAAACCTGTTTTGGTGTTCGCATCAAACTCAGGTTGGTGAAGATCTCGTGATTTCTGGTTTATCTCGCCCTTTGCGATCTACGTTAGCCGTCTTATTTCGTGATGCTCTATTTTGAAAAATCGGATGCTGGAGGTGAATTGTTTCAATTGCGTGTTTTTTTTTCTTTTGGAATTAATGCTCGTGTTCAGAAGATCCATACTCGCTAAATTCGTGGTTCGGTTTCAACACTTGCTTTTTATTTTTTGGATCGTTGAAAAAAAAATTCATTCCTTTTGATGTTATGACTTCGCATGAACGGACGGGAAAATGTTTATCCTATGAAGAGCATGACCCAGCATATTTTAAACTGTGTAATCGTGAAGAGAGGTACTGTATTTAATACTTTTCTTCTTGCGAAGATTGTACTGTATTGCATGAAGAGCGTGATCCAGCTTATTTTTAACTGTGTAAATGTAAAAGAACAAGGTATCTGTTACTTGCCTTCTTGGTAGTTTTCGCGTGAAACGAAAGTTTATCATTGGTTGAAATTTTACGCGTAGAAGATTCGCTTTTGGAAGGGAGAGGCCAATTTATAATTGTGCGAATATAAAAGAAAGTACTGTACTGCATTCAATACTTGCTTTCGTGCAAAAATTTTATTGCAAAACGAGCATGACGCCGCATATTTTAAATTGTGTGAATAGAGAAAATTAATTAGTACTTACCTTCTTGCAAAAATAGCATGACCCCGCGTATTTTAAAATTCGAACTGTGTAAATGTGAAGGAAAGATGTATTTATCACTTGGCTTCTTACCAGAATGGCAGTTTTTTTTTGGCGTGAAAGGAAAGTTTTCTCCACGGTTAAAATGTTATTCGTGGAAGATGCTTTTGAAAGTGAGATGCCTTTAATTCACGGAATTCATTTCTCAAAAATGAAATGGACTTTAGTTTTGATGCCTCCATTCCGAGGCGATTTTTCAAGGATGATTTCGTTCTTCACCCAGTGTTAACTTGAAATTTTTTTTTCTTATTTCCCAGTCCGGTCATCGAAACACCTGCGGAGGGCTACGTACAAAAATCCGTCGACTTGAAACCATCGCTGGAAGATAACTTCGAGTTCACAGACGTGCTCCCCGGACCCTACAAAATCCTGGTAACCAGCGAAGGCTATTGCTGGGATAAATCCACGACGGAGATCGAAGTTTCGTCCTCGGACATCCGAAACGTGGTCATCAAACGCCTCGGGGTGTCGGTCACGTTTGAGTCTTCACACGCTACCCAAATCGATGCCGTGTCCAACGGTAGTCTCGTCGAGAGCTTCGAAGTGAAGGCCGGTGTCAGTGAGCGATGCTTCAAGACCAGTGGACTCTACGAATTTGTGCCTAAGGGATGTCACGCGTTTGGGGACAAGAACGTGGTGGTGGACACTGGGGTGCCCGGCGGAGCGAAAGTGTCGTTGAGGGCGACCAAGCACGTGTTGAGTGGCGTCGTGAGGGCGGACGTTGGTGTGAAGGACCTGGTCGTGGCTATCAAGGATAGTGATCAGGTGCGACGCGGAATTCACGAGTACAGTGATACCCCGAGATGCGGACGTAATTGGTGCATCAAGAGTGTCCCTAAGTCGTAATGTCCTTAAGTCAAGTCTCATTTTCCCTTGGAGTTACATTATATAATTTTTATTTGGTGTTTTATGGACAAAATACTCACCATAATTCCATGAAAATAAAATTGTCTCTCAATTGAAACTGATTCAATCAATATATTTTGACACAAGATAGACATTTGGGGAATTGAGTACTGATAACTCTGTACAGTACATAGAAATGTTGGCATTCTCTGTAAAAATAACATTTAAGTGAAAAGGAGAGAAGGAAGTCCCTCTATGCTGGAGGTAATTTTTTTAAATTAACTAAATGGATGGTAAATTGGTGAGAGAAATGACGAAGAACTTTTCTTACACCAATTTTAGGGTTGGAAATATCTTTTTCTTGTAATTTGGCCTAAAACTTAATTGCACTTTTATCACAAATTTCCCTATGTCAAGTCAGTGTCCTAGTGTTAGGCCTTTTTTATTAAATTTTTCATGGGAAAATAAGTTTCCCTATGTCAAATTATCTGCATGTCAAGGTGTCTGCATGTGGGGGTCTCACTGTATTAATTGTTGGCTCCCTGTGGAGCAAAACTAATTTGTTCCTGTATGAGTTTTCATTTTGTGAAACGCGTTTTCTGTTTATATTACATAGTTCAGTCAAGCCTCTTCAATTTGTGCTGCAATGGACTAGCAAAAATGAAAATAATTGGAGGGTTTCTGATTTGGGGAAACAAGCATTTCTGTTGGGGAAAAGAAAGAATAATTGCAGGAAATTGTGATTGGTGATATTTTGGACTTTAAATTGCTTTGTGAATGAGTTGATGGGATTCTGAACTTGGAGGCAAGGATTACATTGTTCATCCAATTAGTCTTGAACATTCTTTTTTTTTTCAAAACACATGGTTAAATTTGTATTGCTTTACTCTCTCCTGTGTCAATAAAATAATAGCCAAAAGGGCTCCAGAAAATTTGGCTTATGGAGGTTAGAGGGAAAAACCCTCTGGTTAAAGAGGTTTTCAATACATTTTTTCCAAGGAAATTCAGACAGGGACTAGAAAAAAATTGAAATGGAAAGATTTTTGACTAGAGGAGGTTCGAGTTATTAACGTTCAACTGTATTTGTTTTAATAGGTTCCTGAAACCCACCAAAAACCACAATAGACGAAGCATTTTGTGTATTTTGCAGCAGAAAATCTTGAATTTGATATTGTTCAACGTGTGAGTTAAAATAGTCTTGACAACTCTTGGTCGTACCTTTCGGAGTTTTTTCAAGTTTCAAATATTGTACAAGGAAATGAAAAACTACTTTTTTTTATTATTACCCTCAGTTTTTGGAAAAATCGCGAAGTTTTATTAGATTTGAGCATTTTTTACCCAAAATTTTCGTGAAGCGAATTTTTCGTTGCGCGGTTTCGCTATACGAGGAATCCCTTCAAATTCAAAACGCATCCTTTGGTTCAATCATGATGAGCCCATTGAGTGTCCAAGAAAATTAGCGTCTAATGCTTAACTTCAGAGTTGCTTCCTCGAAATGTGTCGCATTTTTCACGTTGCAGTCTTCGAGATTTTCCTTAATTCCCAAAAAAATAAATAAATGAAATACTGTTGATTACGGATCTGGAGTTTTACATTACCTCGTTCTCGTTTCTTCTTAGTTGCTGGGTGAATTGGGTCTCACACCGGTGTCGTCTGGAAAGGAGTTCGAGTACAAATTTGACTTTTGGGCATCTCCTGGAGACCATCTCACCATCACCCCGATGGCTGCTGAACTCCTGTTCGACCCCGTGGAGTCTCAACTGACTATGCCAAACGATTGTCTCCCGAATGGGCCGAAGTTTTCCGCGAAACGTGGCGTCTTTTACGTTGGCAGCGTCAAACCTCCGTTGCAGGTGAGAAACAGAGGACTTGGTTCGAATGAGGAAAAAAACCTGACTTTGGGATTTTTTTTTTCATTTGTGACCTGATGACCCAAGTTTCCGAGTGGTGGTGCTAACTGTCTGTTTTTGTTTATACAGTATGTAGAATTTTTGGATATACAGTGAGACCTCAGGATGCAGATGCAATTGGTGCATCAAGAGTGTTCTTAAGTCCAGTCTAATTTTCCCTTAAACTTACATTATATAATTTTTAATTGGTGTTTTATGGAAAAAATACTCACCATAATTCCATGAAAATAAAAATTGTCTCCCAATTGAAACTGATTCAATCAATATATTTCAACATAATATGGACATTTGGGGAATTCAATACTGATACCTCTGTACAGTACATAGAAATGTTGGCATTCTCTGTAAGAATAACATTCAAGTGAAGAAGAGAGAAATAAGTCCTTCTATCCTGGAAGTAATTTTTTTAATTAGCTAAATGGATGGTAGATTGATGAGAGAAATGCCTAAGAATTTTTCTTGCATCAATTTTAGGGTTGGAAATATTTGTTTTTTGTAATTTCGCCTGAAACTTATTTGCAATTTTATCACAAAATGTCCCTATGTTGAGTCAGTGTCCTCATGTTGGTCCTTNTTTGTAATTTCGCCTGAAACTTATTTGCAATTTTATCACAAAATGTCCCTATGTTGAGTCAGTGTCCTCATGTTGGTCCTTTCTTATTAATTTTTTATGGGAAACCAAGTCTCTCTATGTCAAATTGTCCACATGTTGAGGTGTCTGCACATGGGGTTCTAATTGTGTTCCAATCCGTTGAACATTTTTAGAATTTTGTTAAATATAACAAATCGTTCGTTATAACAAACTTTTTTCTGAAGTCCCCAAAAGTTTTTTGCAATTCGATTACACATAACTGTATTATGATAATTTTCCACGCAGGCAAGACATGATGTTCGCCTGCTCCATGTACCCAGTCACGCCGGGCTTTCTGGAATCAGTCAGACGAGAACTCAAGTCCCAAGTCCGTCGCCTTCATCATCACGCATCCATCGTCGTCTGGGCCGGGAACAACGAGAACGAGGCGGCGCTTCGGGGCAACTGGTACGGAACTGCTGCCAATTTCGACTTGTATCGTCGGGACTATGTCAAGTTGTACGTGGACGTTGTGCGGGAAGAGGTGCTGGCCGAGGACCAGAGCCGTCCTTTTGTCGTGTCGTCGCCGTCGAATGGACGGCGCAGTGAGGAGGAGGGCTTTGTGGCGGAGAATCCGTACGACGCGCGATTTGGAGATGGTGCGTATGTGTACGAGTCGAAACTTGATTTGTAGTATTGTACCAGAAGAACATTTTTTCGTGGGGACATGCTTATACGAGGGTTCTAACAAAAGTTCTCGGAGTAGCAATGAAAATGGCCTACAGTTGAGCTGAAAAAATTTTTTCTTTAGGGAAAACATATTCTTTTGGCACACAAAAAAATATCAGCCCTGTTTGACAAATTTTTTTTGCATTTTTTTCATAATTCACTCTGGCAGAGTTTTGCTCTCCACTCAAAAGATGAGGCTACAGGTAAAATAGGCTTGTTTTCAGATTTTTTTGGGATCATTGAGTCAGTTGCATGAGAGAGAAAGCCACAGGAAATAATTTGAGGATCAAATGAATTATTTTTACTTCAATTTTAATTTAGTTAATAGTAGATGAAACACAGGTGGACTCTTTTTACAAAAATCTTGTCTACAACAAAATTCTCTGTACAACAAATGTTTTCTGGTCCCTTGAGATTTGTTGTAGATGAGAGAGTCCACCTCATGTACTGTATTTGATTTTTGCACATATTGGGTCAACTCAAAAAGTGGAACTTGTTTTTCCAGTTTTTCATTAGCCTTACAATTAAAGAACACAATTCCAAGATCATGTGAAGTGAGCTTTTACTTGAAAAAAAGAAACTAACCCAGTTATTGAGATGCTATATTTGCTGTGGAGGATATCCAAAAAAAGCCACGCATTTGCATGTAAATGCAGAAATCAAATTTTTACAATTATCCTGAGATTGGGCATGTGATTCTCAGTAATAACCAAATGATATCCCTAGAAGTATGCATTCATTTATCTTGTTTTTGCCCATTTTTCATCAAGAATAGGACATTTATTTTGTCACTAAATCAGGGTTTCCATTGAAAAAATAACGGAGGGAGGTTTTTCCAGAAAAATTTGTGGCGCTATATGCAAGGATGGCACTAAATCAATGGTTGACCAGTATCAGGATTATGAATGATGAAATCTGTAGTCATATGGTTATGACTTCTGTGAACTTGCTCATTAAAAGGCACTTTGGGTGGACTTCACTCCAACAATGTTCTGCTCAGAGTTTAGGGTTAGCAAATGTGTAAAGTGAAAGAATGTTCTATTTTTTATATGTTGCAGCTGAGTTTGCCAACACTGATCCAAATCAGGCTTTGTGCAAATGAGGTCATGCTTGACCTCTTTTGGTCAAGTCTATAAATATGAGCTCCCTTTGCTGAGACTTGGAAGCACTCATCCTGCCTTTGCCTCAATGCCATCACTTGTATTGCATGCTGCTTTTATTTTACCAAAAGTCTTTGTGTTCAAAGGAGCAGAGTTATAAACCCCCAGGAAAACTCCTCAAAGTGTTTTTCTGAACTACCAAAAGCATTCAGTAAAATGGCTTGAAACTCTTCAACTAAACATGGTTACATGAGAATGCATGAAATTTACAGTAAGTAGATTTTCTGAGTAATAATTGAAGAAATGTGTTCATATTAAAGCCAATCAAGATAAAAAGTGAAATCTGACACCATGGATAATTGATCTGACACCTATTATGCATTTTATAAATCGTGTGTTTTTCAAATTATCTATTTTAGAAATTATGATCAATAGAAATGTATAACATATTTTCAAATGTAGGTACTTCAATGTGTTTTTGTTCAATATTTTTAAAAGTATGTGTTCTAGGATTTATTTATTTTCAAATTACAGTATTTGTTTTTAAAATTGTGTATTTTAAAGATTATATATGGTATATCTTTTAAATTTTATTTTCAAAATTATGCACTGTAAATTTCATTTTATTTCATCAAAATTTCCATTTGACATTTGAATTGATTGGGTTCAACAGTATTTTTTGCCATCCTGTTGTAAATAATTCATTGCAACTGTATTTTCATCATAATGTTGTGTCCTGCAACACATTTGTTTGCATTGCAGTGTTCTCTTGACAAACTTTCACAATGTTTGGCTAGCAACTGTGTTGCTCAATGGTGTCTGGTCACTGGTCAATTGCCTTTTGACCAGCCTGGTTTCAATTGTGTTTATGCATGGTCATGTACCTTATTTTGTGTCCAAAGCCTGAAGTCTTAGTGTCTGAACACTTCTTTTGTATTCATTGCTGGTCTGGTCTTTGTTGGAGATAGTTGAAGTTGAAAATACATTATATTCACTGACTTGAAGAGAAGTATTCTCATCTCATGTTGCACTGGCCATAATAATTAATTTTCTATTGACATTCCTTGGTCCTATTAATGGGTGATTTCAGAACAGAGTAAATTATCTCAGCAAAGAAGATTTTGGATGCATTTGTAAAGTATTTGCTTTGACAAAATTCCGACAACTCAGGATAAAAGCATAGAATTCATTCAACTGCATTTGTCAAACTGATTTGTACATGCAGTATATATATGATGCTGTTGCAAAAATAAAATAGCATCTTTAAATTCGACACGCCAAAATCAGAGAACCTGAATTTTCAGTAGAAATCCTCTTTCATTTCATCTCTGTGAGAATCTTGGAAGACCTTGGTTCTCATGTTTCTTTCTGGGCCTTCATGGCTGTATTTTATTGCTAAAATCCTTTTGCTTTTTTTTGTCCTTGAAGGACAGTTTTCTTGTTTTCCTAAATCAGCAAAAACCATACATTCCAACTCAAACATTTGTGTGTGTGTTGTTTCTTGGCAATTCTGCGCGGAAATCACTGTTTTCGGACTTAAACATTTTCAAACAAATTACACCAACCTTAAAATAGGGTGATTACTCACCCCGGTCACAGCCCAACCAAAGTCTTGTGTTTTCTTTATAAATAGCTAAATTCAAAATTCCAACGATCTTTATTTGTTGAGAAATTCTTCTTGACAGATGCGTCTTATTAAATATAATCGTCGGGTCGGTTCGAATAATATTATGTTCTTATTGCAGTGCACTACTACAACTACTTGTCGGCGAGTTGGGACTGGAAAACGTACCCTCGGGCCAGGTTCTCGTCCGAGTACGGCTTCCAGTCCTGGTCATCCCTGGCTGCACTCCAGCGGTCTTTCCCGTCCTCGGAACTCAGGTGGAACTCCGACCTCATGACCCATCGTCAGCATCATCCCGGGGGACAGGCTGAACTGGTGGCACAGGTTGAGCGGTACATGGACTTGCCGCCGGACGTGAATGATTCCTTGTCGGGATTTGCGTTTTTCCTGTACGAGATGCAAGTGCATCAGAGCATGGCGGTGAGGACGGAGTCGGAGTTTCTGCGGAGGTCGATGAGCGCCATCTTTGGGAACGGGTCGGAAGGCATGACGATGGGGGCGCTGTATTGGCAGACGAACGAGATCTGGCCCGGGGCTTCGTGGGCGTCTCTGGGTGATGATGATGATGATGATGACTCTTCATTATTGGTGTTGTTGATTTTCTTTAGACACGATGGCCGGAATGTCATTTCAGTATACTGTATATTCACTGCCTTATTATATATTGGAGCCAATTAATATGTATTTAAGAAGTCATTTGTTTTAGGAATTATTTATTTTCGAAATTATTATTTTTTGGATTCTTTATTTTATAAATTATTTGTTTCATAATTATTTAGATTAGAAATTATGTACGTTCTAAAAATTATTCACTTTGGAAATTGTGTGTTTTCAAAATTATCTACATTATATTTACTTTAATGTACTGCATGTATTTTAGATATTACGTGCTATACAGTATTTCAATTACTTTTAGAATCATGTGTTCTGGAGTGTATGCATAATATATTTTAAAATTTATGTGTTTCAGAAATTGTGTATATTGAAAAAATATTTATTAAAGAAAATACTTTGTGTAATTTCTGAATTTTATGTTTTAGGCATTGTTTATTTTCAGAATTGCATGTGTTCTAGAAATGTTTACTGATGTAATTTTAAAATCAGGTTTGCTAGAAATTTTGTAATATCAAAATTATGTTTCTTTTCTAAAAATAATGTATCAAAGAATCCTATGTACTGTATAACGAATTTTTTTGTCCCTGTCCAATAGCCAAAATGTCATTTTACTTTTGTTCCAACGATTTTTAGCTTATCAAGATTATTTTTCTGAGCCCCAAACGTTGTATTGTAATGAGATTTTTCAGAATTCCCAGAATTCTGTATTTTAGAAATGATGCACTGAAGAAATTATGGATTTTGGTATTTAGGTATTGTAGAAATTAGTTATTACCAGAATTGGTTATTTTTAGAAATTACGTATTTTGGAATTCAGGCATTTTAGAAATTAGGAACAGTAGTTTTAAAATTATGTATTTACAATTCATTGTACAGTACATGTATTTATTTTATGAATTTGGTATTGGAACCAGGAGAAAACAGATGATGAGACCAGCAAAAGGTGCCCCATCATTAAAATAAACATACTCAGTATATTTACAATTGATAAACAGCATTCAAAGTTTTCATCATATTTATACCGTTTTTAATCACAGTACATCATCTTTGAATTTCCAGGTTAAGATTCCAACAGCAGTCATTCCAACTGAGATCAGTCATTTTCCTGTGATAACTTGGATTTTTATTCTTATTTTCAGAGTACGATGGAAGTTGGAAGATGCTGCACAATTTTGCAGCTCGTTTTTTCGCGCCTTTACTAGTGTCGCCATTCTTCAACGAAGCCGGGGAACTCGAAGTCTACCTTGTGTCGGACAAGTTGAACTCTGTGAACGACCTGCAACTAGAAGTGTCCCTTTTGAACCTGCGATCTGGAGCCGTTATGGACTCTCAACTCGTCCCAGTAGATGCGGTTGGTTAGAAATTTGCATGGAAAAATGGCCATGAAATCTCTGGATAATCCTGTTTAAAATTGCGCAAGATGCCTTTTTCTCTCAAATCAGATACGCAAGACAAGAAAGATAAAAAAATTACTGCATTGCAGGAAGAAAACAGGCTTTGGGAGATTTTTTTGAAAAAGAAAAAAATTTGAAGAACTGGAAGTGAACCCTTAATATTGAAAATGTGGGAAACTTTTTTGTGTTTTTCATCTGTTTCAACAAATAAATTTTTGAGAATTTTACCAGGTGTAGAAAAGTTGATGGTTGAAGCAACAAAAAAGTTTAAAATTTTAGCTAGGCAGACAAATTTTTAGCACTTTTTGCAATGGGTTGGGAACTGGAAAGTTTTCACTCCTCATAATGCAGTAAATTTAATTTTTTTCTCAAAAATCTGAAGAAAATCCTAGAACCCTGAATATCATGAGCTAAGTTATAATTTTTTTTTTCAAGTCATGCCTGCTCTGAAAATAATCAAAGTCGCGCCAAAGTGGGACAACCCTCATAATATCTTGATGGTGTTGTGCAATTTCAGAGAGCAATATTTTTTCACAAACATTCATTAAAATATATATGAATTGAATTCTTGTAAGGAAAGAAGGAAAAGTTTTCAGAATCCTGTTTACTTTGATTTCAAATAAATATCTGTGCATGCTGTGAAGTAAATTTGATAGTATATTAATAATTTTTTTGTACATTCTAACATTACTTAAATACTGTACACAGCATGTGAGAGAAGGTCAAACAGTTTTTAAAATAAATTTTATCCTGACTTTGAATGAATTTCTGTTGGAAGTTGAACTTGATCTCCAAAATTTGAGCAATCTTATGACATTTCAAGCGTAGGCCATTTTGTTTCTTGCCTGCAAATTCGGAAATGGCGGATCTTGACTGGGATAAGCGAGTGTCTCTTATTGTACAGTATACTGTTTAAAATTTACAGTTTTTTTCTATCTATAATCAATTCTATAGGATTATTGCAGTACAGTATTTTTTCCTCCCTTTTTTTTCAAGCCGGCTCAAACTGCTCACAGTGTGTGGAAGACGCCTCTTCTGATTCGTCCCGAGAATGAGGTTAAGAAGAACAAGGGTCGTGCTGTTGTGGAGAGTCTTTATTACTTCCGACTGCTTGATAAAGACCAGAATCGAGTCACGGAAGACAATTTCCTACTGGTTGGAGACATGCTGTCCGATATTCCAGCAGTGACTGTCAGAGTATGTGTATTTCTGTGGTGATTTTTGTGCAAATCACGTCCAGCTGAGAAGATCTTTGTTCCTTGAAAATTATTCAGGGAACTATAAATGTACTCTCTCTGCAACAATCTTTTTTACAACTATTTTCACTGTATAACGAATTCTTCTGTGGTCACTCAGGATTAACTCCCCATTCTATAATAGGGGATTTTTTTTTACAGCAAATGCTCTCTATAACGAATTTTTTTTCTGGTCCCTTGAATTTTGTTGTAGAGATAGTCCTGCACCTGTAATTTCAAGTGCAGTATTTCAAAGTGGTTCTTATGTTTGCAAGTAAAATATCATTACAAAAATAAGTACCTTTACAACAAAATGTTCTGTTTAAAAAACTGTTTCTCAAGCCCTGGCAGAAAATCCATAGAGTTATACATGTTAAAACAATCTCATTTTAAGAAACTTTTTCCCAATTCCAGTATGACAAAAGTTTTTGAAGAATGTTTCAATAGATTTGTCATGTAGAAATTTCCTGACTAAGGCAGACACATGTTGAAGTTTCTCATCCCAAATGTGGATGACTGTTTTTTTTTTTAGCATGGATAGAAGCTAGGTGTAAATCAATGACAGACATGCTTCCATCACATTGTTCCACACATGATCCTCCCAAAATGAAGAGATTTGTGCAACTGATGGAATGCATGATGATTGAAACTAATTTTTTTCCTCAGAGTATCACTCAGTTTTTCAAACAAGAATACAAAATCTGAGAATGTCAGAAAAGCAGGATCTAATTGATTAAAGGCAGGTGTGATGTGAAAATGTTTTCCAGTCATTAATTTTGAAAATCTTTTTAAAACAAATTATTCAGTATAATGAACTTTTTCTGAAGACTGCAGAATTTTTTTGTAATGAGATTTTACTGTATTTTTGCTCCATGCAATTATTATAAATGAAGTACAGTAGTAACTTCATTATACTGTATATCAAAACAGAAATCTGTAAAAAAATTAAGTAGCAAGAAAAGTTTCCAATTTTCCCAAAATGAAATTAAAAATTGATTTTACCCAACTATTGACCCGTTTTTCTCAATTTTTTTCCAACTGAAGTAATCTCATGGTAAAATCAGTTATTTGAGCGTTGATGAAAAAGTCTTCAGGCGTATGAATTGCGATTTATGCTAATTCTTCTGCCATTTTCAGGAACCAAAAGCAGCCAGTATATATTCTTTGTTTGTTTTTTGCAGGTGATATCAGTCACCGGAAGTGGGCCAGAATTTTCCGTCTCCCTAGAATCCTCTGGAATCGCCCTTTTTGTTTGGCTGGAAGCTGAGGACATATCGGGTCACTTTGCGGACAATGGAATAGTGTTTGTGCCTGGCAAGACGAGAGCTGAGGTCACATTCAAATGCCGAGACGAGTCGTGTCAGGTCACTGCATCGCAACTGCAAAACGCTATTCGAGTCACGACCCTGGCTGATAATCCGCTTTATCAGCGAGAACGAGACGTCAGACTGCTGATTGAAAACTGATTTCTGCTGATGATCATCAATCATCCTCGTGGTGCTGGGAGAGAATACCGTATTTCGGAAGGTCATCATTTTTTTTTTTTTTCAAAAGAAAGGAAGTTATGGCAATTTGTTGCTTTTATTTTATCCTCAGTTTTGAAATAATCTGTAATTTCTGTCGTTTCGAATTAAAATATTCAGATTTAAAATGTTTCATCACGAAGTTAATTTCAGATGAATCTGAGCCGAAATTGATTTTAGAAAAAAATTTAATAATTAATGCCTTTACGCATGGTGTTTCCACTGACTGGATGTTATAGTTGACATTCCAACTTTTTTAATGCATGCAACTACGTTTCGTCGTCCTTATGTTTCTAAATTTGGATTTCAATGAAATTGTCAAAAAACATTTGTACAGTATATTATCATCCATACATGGATAAATATATTTTAGTTTAAAAATGAAGATGTTCTACAATTTATTTTTGGCAAATGAAGTGTTGGATTCTTTTCGAGGATATCTTAGCAGGGTTTGACTGTTTATGGGTCTATTTCTCTGGTGAATTACATGTTTTGTGATATAATTAAAAGCATTATTTGAATAAAACAGAATTTGCTGACTATAATCAGAAATGAATAAAAAACTACCTTCAGTATCAAACAAAACATAATTGCGGCAAAAAATTCACGCTTTCCTCGAATTGTATTTCTTATGCCTTGCATTTTGCACTTGATGTTCAGGTTTCACTTCATTTTACGTGTAGTTTTATTTTGATGAATAAAAAAAAAGGATTTTCCGTTATTTTTCAAAAATAAATACTACATGAAGGCAGAAGTGAACTACTTGCAGCCAAAAAGAAACCATAACAAACAAACAGTGGACTAACCTTTAAAAAGTTTCAACTAATTCAAATATTCTCACTGCTCTGTCTCATGTACAACTTAGATGTGTGCGAATCAGCAGCTATGCTTTCAGAGGATATTTTGGCCAGTGCATATTAGCGCAGTTCTGCCACACTGAAGGTTGGCAAGCGTCCGGTAAGATAAAAACAGCACAACATTGTTCATGCTACACTTCCAGCTTTTATTCGCCCCACTCTGTACTTCAGGTCACCGGCATCAATCTTCGAAACGTCAAAACAACGGAATAACCGGGTACCAGGAAGATGAAATCATGACCTCGAAACGAAGCCCCTTTGTTCCCCCTCAAACTCAAACATTTTAACACTTCAAAAAGAACACAACAGCAGTTCCACACACAAAATTTGCTTCGAGTAAGATTTCATTTTTAGAAATCCTTGGACTAACATTAGTTGCCAAATTTCAAACTGATACAGCTCTGAAATATTTCATCAGTCATATTCCAAAATTTTCACGCAATTCCTTTCGTATGCCAGTATTTCCAAGTCAGAAGTGCAACAAGAAAAAGATGATTGAAAACAGAAAATTTTCATTTTTACAAACGCAACGGAACATATGTGTTTTTCTGCGAACATTTAGAAGAGGACTTGGTTGCATGGGAAGAAATGGTGGTTCTAAAATGTAAGCATAATTTTCAAATAACCCTGCCCTCTATTAGTCAGTTGGATAACGTTATTCTAATACAGGAGTATCCTCTACAGTAGTTTTCTGAAAAACTGAATCCGACAAGGGAAGGTAGTCTGAAAAATAACTTCTATGATCACGGAAAAACATTCAACTTTTTAAACATAGGGTGGAATGAAACAAAACTTGAAGTGGAGTAGGTATTTTATCCAATGACTATTCTGCATGTTCCGTAGATGGACAAAAAAAATGGTCCATCATGAAGAAATTCTAATTTCAGTTACTTTTTTATTCAAGCAGTCCAAGAACTTCTGAAAATACCCTCGCAAGGGGATAATAATCGTGGAATTCTCGAGGCCAATAAAAAGACCTTAAAAGCCACTTCGTAAAAAAAACTTCTGCCACGAATTTTTTTTTTTCAAGCGAAATGATACGTGTGCAAGCTTTCACTTTCTGAATGAAAAATTCCAACTTCTGTGGGATTTGAAAACTCGGAACAAATAGCATTTACTTCTTTTCTTCAAACAAACAATAAAATACAGTAGAATAATAATTTAACGTTCGCGAAACAGCGGTTTGTTGAATATTAACGCGGACTCAAAACATTTCCAGAAGAAAAGAAATATTTCCAAGACGTTGCTGTATTTGAGTGACCACCGAAGTGTGACTGACCAGAGCTCATGCAATAGAATTTCGGTGAACCCAATTGATAAAACTACAGGTTTCATGTAAACTGATCTCAACACAACTGAGTGCAGGTGTATCCGAAAAAAAATCTGGTTTTCTTCATAGATCAGGAAGGGCTCTGAAAACTAAAACCATCACAGACCAACCATAACTGTCTCAATACCATCTGAAATTTTATTCATACACTGCATGTCCTTCTGTGCTCCCAAGATCTCATTATAACATATCCATTGGAACCTGTAAACAATTTTTTTTCCTCAAAACTAAAAATTGTCTTGAGCCTCAAATGATTTTTGACTATGTTGGAGGGACATCAAAAATGATTTTTTTCCAAGAAGATTTCTGTACTTGCAATAATCTCCTCATCTAATGAACATATTTACGGATTCTTCTTGTATGGTCAGTGACACGCAGAAACAATCCAGTAGAAACGAACGTTCCATGGAAAACAACAAGACTTCGGCAGTCAGTCATGTACAGCAGGGTCTTGGCTAACAAATTTGACACTTGCGAAGCCTTTACATTGCTTCAAAAACACTAATCCAGCAGGAAAACATTTCTTAAGAGGCAAAAACCGTGAAATTGTCCTCAACGCAGTATTCGAATTTTTCCCAAAACAAAACAGAATGCAGCCAACGAACACCACACTGGAACAAATAACGTTTCTTAGCCAAATCCCCATCTTACTATATAACAGAACTGCTAGCTTAGAAAAAAAAAAACAAGTTTCGAGCAGGAATCCATCAAAAATCGTAGCAACAAAAAACAAAATCACTGTTTAACTTTTCGTCATCAGAAAAAAAAAAGAAAAAGAGAAACACTTTTGAACGCGGTCAGAAAATGAACAATAACAAACGAACAAAAGTCGACAAAGCTCTTCCGCAAGAAGCATTTCATAGAAATCCAGGAAAACACGCAACCGGAGTCGAATTATTCTTCGCTCACGACCTCTTCCATCCAGTGAATAGGTAGGTAGGTGGTGAAGCTCCACTTTCTTGTCATCTCTTTTCTCTCGCACGTTTTTCGTTCAAATAATTTCAAACGGGACGCGGGTTTTAAAAGCGACGACGTTTCGACTGGAAGTTTTCGGGGCCACCAAGGTCGTCCGAACCACGGCCCCATTGCCTCGTCGGCGGCGGCGGCGCCGCGCCAGCCAATCCGGGCTGCCCGTTGCCCACATCTGGCCCGAATTTGCCTCCATAACCGCCCTAGAAGCAACAAACGCGGGTTAAAAAAAAATACTGAAACGCCACAATACGAGTTGAAAAACATTGCAAAGCAACAGACGAGATTTAAAAACAAATCGTGTAATGTACTAAAATGCTACGAACCCGACTTTATAAAACAAAAAAAAACAAAAAGAGGCCAATTTTTAAAAAATACTGAAATACAGTACAACAAACGCGAGTTGAAAAATATTCAGAGGATATTTTCGTTACGAAATTTCTAAATTAATTGTTGTCGAAAAATAATTGATGAATCTTTTCAAGGAAATGTGACGCGTTCAAATAAAAAAAAAAATTGAGAAGTTGTAAAATGAACATTTTTCCCCGCGAAAAAAATATTAATCACGGTAATTGACAAATTTTGCAAGAACCGCGGGGCAGAGATTTCAACCCAATTCCACTCACTTGATTCATGAGTCCAAGTCCAGGTCCAGATCCTGAAGGGGATGACAAAATAAAAAATAAACGGGCATTTTACTCAAAACTCAATCTTGGCAATTCAACAGCGTTCAGAAAACGAAACGTAAAAATGACTTCATCAGAAATACCCGAGGATTTTTCGTCAGTTGTCGATCAGACGGCAATTCCTGGATCATCATCGAAAACATTTTCTTCCCACGAAAATACACTTATAATCGCGAAGCAAAAAATTCTGAATAGGCACACAAAAGAAAGAATCGACACGTACCCTGATCCCATTGGTATCCACCGGGTCCGTAACCACCATCCCTCTCGGGTTTTCCGAACCCGGGTTCAACGGGTCCCTTATCAAAGCAGGCGCCTCCTTCGTTGCCGACATAACCCGCCTCTTGTTGCTGCAAGTGTAAAGGAAGAAAATCCACAACTTGCTCAAAACCCGTCAAAACGTTTTTAGCAAGAAGTTCAATCTGAAGACTCCAATTCTGTGTCATATTTCAAGATATACCGTTCAACCTCTCTAATTCGAATTTCAAGGGACCAGCAAAAAAAAATTTGACTTAGAAGGTTTTGAGTTGTAGAGGTTTGCATTACAGAAGCAAGAATATTCGTCGTGAGAAACATTGAAGAATAGCAACAAATCGTATATGGTGATATTTTGGGCCTTCTCAAATGAGTTGATGGGATGCTGAACTTTGAGGCAAGGATTCATTTGCTCAATTAGTCATTTACTCCCTTTCAAAACACATCAAATTCCATTTTTTATTGCTTTCCTCTTTCCCCTGCCAAGAAAATAATTATCTAAAGGCTTCACAAAATTTGACTCATGAAGGATCAAGATGAAAAGACTTCCAGTTTAGGAGGTTTTTACAGCTTTGCTTTTGAGAGATTTCAGATGTGTACTTGAAGAAGAAAAAAAAACTCGACTAAGGGGGTTCGACTTATCAAGGTTCAACTGTAATTTGTTTTAAAATATTTCTTTTCTTGTTCCAATACACTTAAATAATAAAAACCCATTCTTAAAGTGACAGCTGCACACGCCAACATAAAAATCTGAGTGAAGAAGCCATTTACAATAAATTCCAAGATATTTCCAATTAAAAACGGAAAAAACTACAAAAACTCGTAAGATAATTATTTTCCGGACAAAGTTTTGTTTTAATCGGTTTCGAGGCGAAAAAAAAAATTTACCTGAAGGAAGAGGCAGTTTTCTTGAGCGCGTTGCCTCAAGTTTTCCTCACGTCGGGTAATGATTTGCGTCATTTGCTCTTCGCGTTTCCGATACTGCGCCTCTTCATTGCGCCTCATTTCTTCAATTTGCTGCAGCTGCATTTCCTGTTTCCGCATCCTCGCCTCTTTCTCAAGCTCACGTTGCCTCAGTTCTGCCAAAAACAAAAGTATTCGCGGAAATCAGTTGAACGGAAATCAAAAGCACCCTGTCTCCCCAAAAAAAAATTCTCCTCACCTCATTTTTTTCAAATTGTAAATTGAAAGAAAAACTTCTATATTTCATTCCAGACTTACAAAATCCCCTCAATGATGTTTGATCGATATAATGCAATGAAATTCCGATTTTCATACTGAAAATGCAACGATTTCGTTACCTTTTACACAGATGTCGCTCAAACTTATCAATGCGAAAACTAATTTCAGACATTGTGAATGAGTCACAGCGAGTCTCCGAACAACGAACGACCCGCACAACAAAAATTTTGCACTAAAAAATTTCTTAGACACAAAAATTGCAAGAACATAAATCGCTTAACGAAAATGTCCTGCATTACGAACTTTTTCATGTGATGCACTTAAAATAGGTAAAAATATTATTTCAGACTCCCCCTGAGCACAGTCTCTTTTCATTCCTGTTTTCCAGAGTGGTTTTCAGCTTTTAAGCCTTTCAGTCAACTCATGAACCAAATGCAACATGTTCTGGTCAAGTGGTGACACCTGTTCACTGTATATGTGAAGATCAGACCCGAATTGGATTCTTAAGAAGAAAAAAAGGGGGGGGGATTTTCCCTAAGAAATTGGAGAAAAATCAGTAAAGAAGTTCAAGTGAATGTTTACTTACATTTTCAATTCAATTCTTCACGATTGAATCAAAAATCTTGAGAAAACAATAAAATTTTCGACATTTTTCTTCAGGGAATGCGTAACAAATGATGAATGGATTAGTTTTGTAATGCGGGGACCCACTGTTGTTCTTCATTTTTCAATGTTGTACATGATTCTAAAACTTGAAAAAATCCCAAAAGCCAGTTCAAGCGCTGAAATAAAAGCAAATTCACAGTTCCAACTCGTTTTTAGCCTCCATTAATATAAAATGCTCTTCTACCTAGAATGTGACCTGAAGTGACAGTCATTTCAAAAGATATTACGGTACTCACGTTTGCGTAGAAGGTTGATTTCCGCGTCCTGCTTGGCAAAGTCCATCTGGGACTCGAGTTTCTCCTTTTCAAAGCGCATTTCTGCCTTGACGGCCTCAATCTTCTGCTTTTCCAAGTCGTACAACGCTTTCCAACGCTGTCCGTATTCAAATTCAAACGACTCCAGCTCCGCAAACCTCGGCGGTAAATCCCGTTCTTGAACAAACTCCGCGTGTCTCCGCATCAAGTTCTTCTCCATCAATCCGTCTTCGTCGTCTTGTTCCGTGGCCAGTTCAGCAATCACCGGTTTCGGAGAACTGCATAAAATGAAACATTGAAACGATCTTCCTCCGTTGATCTCGCATCAGATCAAAACATTCCTCCTTCACCGCCATCGCGTTAATACTTACGAAGTGAGGAAGAAACAGCCTTCCGACAACATTTTGACACACGTGGCGGCTGCCGGCTTCTGCACAAACTCCACAGTTCCTTCGCCCGAGGCCTTTCCTCTGGAATCAACAGCTACAATCGCTCTTTCGACCTAAAAAGAAATTGAATATCTCGCGATGAAAAGTGAAGTAGAGTACAGTTGAACCTCAATAACTCGAACTTCCGTAAGTCAAATTTCTTCGAAATCGGTCTGAATCTCGTTTGAAAAAATGTACGGTATTAAAAACCTTCAAAGCTCCATAACTGGAATTTTCTGGAGATCATTAAGCTATTATTTCATTGACACAGGAAACAGAAAAGCAAAAAAATAACAATTTAACTCGATGCGTTGAAAAAGCAAGTGGAAGATTGGGTGAATGAACCCTTTCCTTCAACTTCAGCATCCTTTCAAATAATTTAACAAGCAATTTAAGACAAGCACTTTATGCATCCAATTATTTCTCGTAAATCTTTTTTCTTCCCAACAAAATTATTCGCTTTCTCAACTCAAATTTTCCACCGGTCTTTTCAAGTTTGACTATCCACGTCAGTGAATTCAGTCAAAAGTTTTCGTCCGTTCTCGATCAGAAGACAAATCCAAAAGATACATCACACGAGTTTGTCCGTTCGTTGAAAGAGATCATCGAAAAGAAAGAAAAAAAAAACACACTCACTTCTCCGAAAACTGACATGGCGCGTTCCAAGAGCTCGTTTGACACCCAGGAAGTCAAATTCTTCACCTTCACAATGGCTCCATGCTGAGCGTAACGAACCTTCAGATTCTTCCCCCGCACGAGTTTTTGGTCCAGCTCATTTTTGGCTCGTTCGGCACTCGACCGATAGTCCTTTAAAAAAAAATTGCATACGTCTGAAAATGACTGAAAATCACGAAAGCGACGCACGAACCATTTTTATAAACGCAAACATTTTCTCTCGGTTGACGAACGGTTCGCTGGTCTCTCCGAAGGACGAAAACAGTTCAGAAAGTTCCTCGTTCGTCATGTCGTTAGGGATATTGCCCACGTACAATCTGCAATGACCGTTGAACTTTCTCGTCTCAACCACTTCCTTCGCCGGGATGTCGGCTGTCGATCCATTGAACGACATCGCCAATTTCTCCATCACTCTTTCCTGCAAAAACAAAAAAGAAACTATACTTTACATCGGCTCTCGAAAAAGGCAAAAACAATGAAATCGCGTTACAACAAACTCTCCGGGAACTTCGGAAAACTTTCATTAGACTGAATAAATTGTTTCAACGAGATTTACAAAAATTAATGACAGGAACTAATTTTCACATCAGACCTCCGGCATTCTCAAATTTAATATTGTTGGAAAACGTGAGTGATCTTCTTCTGAAGAATTAGCTTCTATTCTTTACTCCATCAGTTGCACCAATCTCTTCATTTGTGGAGGATGACGCGTGGAACCACTCGGAAGCATGTTTGTCATCGATTTACAACATGCATCTACGCTACAAAAACCCGTGTGATTGGAAATTTCAGACTGTGCCCGCCTCAGTCAGGGAATTTCTACCACAAGAATCTATTGAACATTTCTCAAAAATGTTCGTTACACTGTGCTGGAATTCGGAAGTTAACGAGATTGTTTTAACGTGTAATCTATAGGTTTTTGGCCAGGATTCGAGAAAAAGTACCTTAATCAGAAAAATTCCCCGTGACGAAATTTTTCACCATCAAAACGTGACACACTGCGGAATCACAAAAGACCAGAATTTCACCAAAACGAACGAACGAACCTCTGGCGTCCTCATCTTCCCTCGTCCCATCGCATGTCCGAAACTGGCGCCAGGACCGCCGGCATTGTGTCCTTCAGTCGGGAAAGATCCACTGCCCATGCCGCCACGACCGCCTCTTCCACCGCCGCGTCCTCGTGGCGTCCCACGACCACGACCCAGAAACCCACCACGTCCGTTGCCAACAACCGGTCTCTGTCCTGAGCCGCCACCAACATTCGTGATCAATGAAGGGGCGGTCGATTCGTTTGGCGGCGCCGTGTTTTTTAGGTCCGCCATAACTTAAGCACAAAATCTCGCGATTTATCGCGCAAGACGCCCGCGACTGTGTGATCAATGCCTAGAAATAAGGAATTCGGAAATTTCTCTCGATTAACAAAAAAAACGCCCTGTTGAAACAGGACATTCGAAGAATGCGTGGGTCAAGCTAAACGACAAATGCGGACAACTTTAAAAGTTTAAACTGTACCGACTCGCACAAAATTTTGTTTTCAGCTCCATCATTAGAAAAGTAAATAATATTCAAGAGACGAAATAAACAGCTGCTACATATTGAAGTACTTAAGAGTTATTTTCTTGACATGCCTTCAATCTGACGGGATCTATTGAAATGCAAATAATTCACCGACTTTTTCTTCCAACGAATAGAAATAACATCTGTTTAAGAAGATAAAAATCTCAAGGTAGCACGAGAGGCATCGGACAGTTGCCTTCAATTCGCAATAATTAAAAAATAATAATTCGTACAGATGATGTAAGCGCATTCATCTTTGAATCTTGACCAAACCAACTTCGAGAAACTTTAAATCTATACGCAGGATTCATCGTTCATTTTATTTCCTCCCGAAGAAGAACAACTGAATCCGCCCGGTTCACTTGCAGCCGTACGAGCGGATGATCTTCTGATGAGGAGCAAGCGCGTGAGCAATCTTCTTCCTCGCCAACAACATCGCCTTCTGCTCACAGATTGGAAACAAACATCAACGATGCATGTAAAGCATTTCCCAAGTTCAATTCCAAAAACTTCGGATTCTACAACTTAGCGAAATCTTAGGAAACGATCAAATTTTCACAAACGAATTTTCAGGAGAAAGATACAATATTATCAAAACTATACGTTCTGCATGGGAAAAGGAAGAAATAGAATTAAACCCACGTGTTTGAAGCGATCCTCCTTGGCGTACAGCGAACCCTTCATACGTCTCTTGATTTCAAGAGACCGGATGACTTGCTGGTACTTCCAGCCGACTTCATGGCTCAGACGTCCAAGGTAACACCACTGCAAAACGACAGGGAATGAATTTCATAACCGAAACGGTAATTCGGCGCTGCGATGCGTTCCTAAACTAAGAAGAATTGGTGAAATTCCTACAGGCAGTCCACAACAAAAGCTCTGAACCGATCAGGCGAGCTCGTTTCTTAATAATCAAGGCCTCACCACACGTTTTACGTGGTTCAGAACTTCAACCTAGCCATACTTTTCAGTGGCATGAGAGAACGGTACTCTACAATTACTGTACGGTACTTTCATTTCCAGGCCCGAGCAAGATCTCCAGACTTGACTCAGAACAACGCGTTGAACTCTACCTACGTCCATTTGACACGTCAAGGAATCTCGATTTTTTCAATGCTGCAAGAAGTTTTACATTTCCATAGTTTTCTGCTTAATATGACGTCGATGCTTTAGCCGTTGTCGAAGAAAACGGCGCAGTAAAAAGTCCACTTTACTCTCGATTAAAAAACAACATGTCGTCAAGAAAAAGCCGCAGAAGAAAAGAATACCGTTTTTTAAAATATATTTTAATCGCTATGTGACATTTGATGCAAAATCCCGTTCAATCATGCCATGATTTTATAAATCTCTCTCGTTGTGAGGCACTTCATCGAAAATCCCATTCAATCACGCTATGCAAATTGTGGATCACAACATTTCCTGAGATAGCAGCCGTAGAAGCGGAGATTTTCAGGCCAATGGATAGATCGGAGAAAGCAAAGCCAGTAAACCGCGCGATAAAAAATACCCTGTAGCACGAACAGGTAAGCACGCTAGAAAGAGCAGCACGAACGACGCTGACCCATAGGGAAACTTACCAAAAGAATTCGCGACCCATAAATGAAAGTCACAGTAAATATAGTACATACCTTGCGGCCCTTACGCAGACGAACAACACGCATGGCGTTCGGACAACGGACGCGCTTCAGCTTCGAATACTTTGGAGGGATTCCTTCAACGGCCATCAAGCGTTTCAGCGCCAACTTACCGCGAGATGTCTTGTGCGGGATCATGCCACGGACAGTTCGCCAGAAGATCATGCTAGGCGCTCGGAAATGAAACGGGCCACGGGCAGGATTCACATTGCAACGCTTCCGAAGGAAGGCCAGATATTTCAGCTTATTTCTGAAAAGCGGTTTACATGGGTCAGAAAAATAAGTTGGAATACACATGCTTTGAATCTGTCGTGATCTGAAAGTAGGTTGAGTTGATCATTACCTGAAAAAGTTCCCCGATATGTTAATCCTTTCGCAGCTCACGACGACGATCTTCTGACCATTCAAAAGGTGCTTCGCCACTATGGCAGCAAGTCGACCTAGTAGATGGCCCTGTCCATCAATTATGATGGGCTGTGGATTCAGAAGAACGCGTTTAGAAAAGCAGCCACGGATACGTCACGTATAACATACCTTCAGGGTCATGCCAGTCATGATGCACAGCACTGACCAACTCTCCTACCACCTGTAACTAAGACACGAATTATGACCAATAATCGAATATTTGTAACACATTTACTCTTCAGGAGCAACTTTAGACTCGGCTTTCAACTGGTTTCCACTAGATATGCCAATTTGACAAATGAGCGCTTTTCTCAAAATGAAATCTCCAGAACGTGCACGCGCCACTCGCAGAAAACGAATGCGATATTTAGGGATCCCGCACAATTCCCAGCATCAACAATTCATGAGCCTTTGTGAGATTTGAACATCAATTTTCAGCAAGAAATCGCCAATCCTGAGCTGATGTAGGCACAGTGAATTACGGCGTGAGATTAACCTCATCACTTCAAGAGGGGGAAAATCCCTCTTGTAGAGCGGTCATCGCCACATACGCGGATTGACGGCTCACCTAACAGCGCACAGCAAATGCCCGTGCACGGCACGCCGGTCTTTAAAATACGTCATGTAGGTGTCACTAGCAACCAAAGAGCACGTAGCTTACATCTCATTCATTGGCATAAAGCACATTGCCTTGGGAAGTCCACCTCCAACTCTTTTATATTGACAAGCTTCAGGTGCCCAGTCATACCTGCATGGGCATGATCAAACTGAAAATTACGCTAAGATTTTTACAAACGTTAATGAATAAATGTGATTTCATGCTGAAGATCCATCCAGTTATCTCATCTAACCATTTGGCAGCAATAAGTTCAATATTAATTGCTGCCTCCAGGGCCAGATTAAACCACATTTTGGCCTGATGCCGCACAAAAAATGGGCCTAATTCTCCTTTGCAATAAAAAAGCATAATTTTTTAAACACCAGCAAGAAATCACTTCAGAAAAATGTTGAGGCCACCAAAGGCTTTCTGAGTGGTAACAGCAGTGAAAATTTCATCCTGTCAGGCAGGGTGGCATGGTTGGAATTGAAATCTTTGATTGAATTTTCTCCTGGCTATGATTCCTTGTCACTGCATCTTCCTGTTTCTGGCCATATTGGCCATGATTTCCTTTTTCAATTCAGAAATTATTGCGGGCTCTCACCTGATTTTCATGTCCTACATCTGGTTTCCTTTTCAATGGTTTTTATATGTGCAGAGTGCTGAAATTGATTTATTGGTGCCTGATTTTTTTTCATCATGAAAACTTTTGACTCTTTCCTGTTTTTGCCAGATTTTCATAATTGAAAAAAATTTGGATTTCCCAAATTGAGAAATTTTTTTCAAATTCTCCAGGGGCCTATTTTTCCTGTGGGCCTATAATGCTGCAGCATCAATAGCACCCACCTTAATCTGGCCCTGGCTGCCTCGTCCATTCACAATGGTCCATGTCCTTCTGCAGCAGGCTCCACTGTTACATCAATCCCAGCCTTTCTTGATGAGGGGCTGAACCAGCACCCATTCCAGATCTACAAATGCAGACATTGAAGAGGGCATGAAGGAGAAACCACCTTCCTTTTTTCCTTTCCAATGTTTGCATATATAGCCACCCACATATCCTGTCGCATATGCAGTACAGGACTTTCATTGACCAAGGACATACTGTATATGCATTCAAGCCCATATACTATATGCTGCTTGCATAACATCAGGGCTCTTGAAGATGTTTCAATATTAGAGACTCTCTCACGATATCTTGAATTTATGAGGACCAAATGTTTATAAAAAGTATACAGTACTGTACATCATATAATCAAGTATATTGCTGCGTATATAATGTATTCCCAAGAGGAGCAGAACTTATTTAGAATGATTTTAATATTGTTGTTCCAATTCAGTGAATAATACAACCACCACTTATTATCCCCTTTCAGCAATATCTGGTTTCTAAAACAAATGCATTCCCATTCACCATCCAACATAGTACTGTACTGTATATATGGATGCAGCCAACTACAGCATACTGTACTCAACTTTAAAATCCAGTTTTTGCTGGGAGGAAATCTGCAGACAATAATGCAGGTTGTGTTTTCAAGTTTTTGCCTGGCATATAGTTCCTTGAAGAATTTTGCAGAACAGAATCAAAATGACAGAAAAATGAGACTTATTGTACAGAGGGAGCGTAGAGAAAAACCCATCATAGCCAGCAGAATTGAAACTTCTTGACTAAAAATAAATGAACAGAAGATAATACTAGATTTTGAATTCTGCCTCTTCTCACTTTATGAATACAGTATTGCAGTTTCTCAGTAAGTAAAAATTGGGTGCACATCTTACTTGGGGATGAACATTTTTGGCATAATTGAGGTACATGTTTTTCATGTGATATTTGAGAAAATCGTGTACTGCACAGTGATTTCAAAACTACGCCATCTCATCAAGCATTTCGTCGTATCTCGTGCATCATAATTTTGATGAGACATCACAAGTGGTTCTCGAAGATAAATTTCTGATATAAAAATCTACGCAACCGCATCAACAAATCCAAGTCCCAGAACACTGTACCCAGCGTATTGAAAAGACAACTACTCAAACTCTCGTATACTGTTCCAACAAATCAACTATACCATCTCAAACGAACGCTAACTACGTTTGTTACATACAAATCATGCTCCTCTGCTGCTGCGCAAAGAATGAACCATGAACGGAAACCCGTCCGTCGAGGGATTTTATTAATTTGTTCACTATTACAATCGGTAGTCCGACGCTGCTGATCGATACAATTCTTTTTTTCCAGAACCGGGTCGAAAACGTGAGGGTCTTCTATGCGTGTTGTTTTTTACCGCGTCGGAGCATGTTTAAGTTTCGGGTGTCACTAGTTCATAAGGTATTTGCAAGGTTAGTTAGTGTAGAGCACGCGACGTTCGAATTTGCGGGGAGACTTACCCGGCTAAAAGTTGTGGATTTTTATAGAACGCGTAGGGGTTTCCTTCGCCGTAGAGCACTTGTATTTTTAGATGTTCTCCCCAAAGAGTTGGAGCACGTTGTGGACTCTTGTTTTTGTTTGACCAGTCATTTGACTGCAATAATGACCATTTTCAGCAAATCTTCGGTAATCTGCAAACAAACAAAAGGAAATCCTTCCCAATGCCGAGGGTCAAGCACCGAAAAATAAAGCATGGTTTTATTTGCCAAACTTATGGTTACGGCTCACGACTGTATCAGAAAAATCATTCCTGGTTGTCATGTACCCTTGTAGAATTGATTCAAGATTTAATCTACAGATAGTACCCAAAATTAAGACAGCATTTACATATTCAACTAAGCCAACCCATGGGCCTGCAGACCAGCGCAAGCCACATAAATATTTTGCCAGTCAACAGGAAAATTTCTTCAGCAATAATAAATTAATCAAAAGTATAGATGAAGTCTGCTATCTTCATCAGACATTTTGGAAATACAATGGCAGTTGAAATTATCTGAACAAAAATGAAAGTTGACTTTTCTCATAGTAACACTTCAGAAAAATTTCTGAAATAGATAATTTAAATTTTTCATTCTGAGAAACCTCTCTTCAAGCCCACCTTTCTAATTTTTCAAAGACATTCCCCTATACTGCTTCATTTTTTCTCAATTTGATTTTTGCAAAAACGCCAACACCTTCCAAGTACCTGCTATAAAGTTGAGCAAAACTTTTCTTCAGTTTGCAAACATTTTTTGAAACTTTGCCAGTTTGCAGAACCCTTTTGGGAAATTGTCTGATCTGTGGGCCCCAAGAGGTTGCGGAAAACTGATATAAATCATGTAAATTCGATGAACAGATAAACTGAATCTGAAACCCTGAGACATACAAAAGATTACTTGTGAGATACTTCAAGTAGGATTCGTAGAACTTAGAGAGAAAGATGAATCTGATTAAAAACGAAGACCACATCTCAGGGCAGGGATTTCAGATCGATGTCTAAAAAATAACTTCCAGGCACTGAATTCAATGACTAGGTCCTATTATTTTTTCAAGAGTAAGACATTACTCTCTCAAATTGCCAATGATGCCTAGGTGAATTAGATGAGGACCTTTGAGAAACCCCTCGGGGCAAAGAATAAATAAAATAAAACAGAAAACCAGTCGCGTCCAACAAGCCGGAATAACCCAAAAGCAAGGTCAACGGATGACACATGTTCCTGCGAAATCCCACAACCCAGCAGCAAGAAAGGAAACAAAATAAAACACACACCAGCCTCACACCAGCTTAAAGCGGTATACAAAATGTCAAGACTTAGCGTTTTGATTCCGCCGCTAGAAAGTCCAGGGGGGGGGGGGGGAGAGAGAGAGAAATGAAAGCTTAAAAATTCACTGTCAGCATCGTGTGAGCCTATAATGCCTCAAGAAATCGATACAAATTAGGACCATTCCACCCAAAAATAACTCGCACGCATTTTTGTTTCCCAACTATTCTGACTAAAGCCCCTTTTTTCGCGAGAGGGAGAAATTCTCGGGCGACGAAATATTTTGTTCCCTGGACACTCAAGGAATGAATGAATGAATGGATTCGACGACGACGAGGGAAGAAGGAGAAAACAATACAGAACAACAACAACGAAAAAGGGGGAAAATGAGAGAAATTACAAGAGGCCAGTCTCAAATTGGCTAAGCAAGATTAGTGCTAGGGTTTTTCCTTTTTCTCTTTTTTTTTTTCTTTTCTGCGACCATCATCGAAACGCTTGCATCAACCGCTGCAACTGTACATCCTATTGATGTCTTCTTTGTACCGCTTCTCAATGTTCAGCCGACGTAGTTTGAAGGCTGCTGTCACGAGACTGTTGTCGGGTGTCCACATTTCCGAACATAGAGTCACTGCTTGTGGGATTTCGAATTTCTCCAATCGACCTGCGGAAAACATACAATTTGGTTGAGTGATAAAATTCAAACGCTATAAATGGGTAATCAATTGCTCATCTGAGAAGTTCTCGAAAGAAAAACAAAAAAAAAAGAACACATTGCATTGTACTGTACAGTATATAAGTTTTCGAGTGTTTGCGGTAGGCGAACAAAACAACTGAAAAATAACGTTGAATTAAGAAATTAAATTCACGTTCAAATTTGAATTTAGTGACTTGTAATTTTGAAATATTTTAATTTCTCAGTCACAAAAAATTCGAGTGCGTGTCTCACTTGAGGGGGCGTGGTAGTCAAGCAATATATGTTCATACTTGAACTTTTCGAGACCATTGCTCCAAATTTCCAATTACCAACGTTAAATAGAAGGAAAATAATTTAATATTCATCTTAAAATTGGATAGAGATGTGTTCAACACGCCATGATTGAGCATTAAGGGATTGCAGGCAGTCAAGCGTCACCAAGCATGAATATTTTCATGAACGTTTTCGATAACAATACATCAGATTTGGTTATTAGCATCCACACAAAAGAAAGTTCTGATCTCGGGAAAGCTCGCATGAGTGACGCTGAATCAATAAGTAAAAATTGCACTTCGGTGAATCAAAAAATCCCAACTAGGTCATCAATTCTACAATTGTTCCGACAGATTCTGACCCAAAAACTCGATACAGAAAATTTGGACGTGACCTCGACTGCTAAAAAAAATTAGCAAAAACTCGTTCAAAATTCCCCTTCCAGTTTGCTTTTACCTTCATTGAACATAAAAAATGACCCCCCCTTAACCCAACTAATTTTTAGAATCACACAAACAGAAAGTCAACCAACATTTCTTTCCGTGCGCTTGGAGCTCCTTGAGGACTTCGGCAGACATGCGTTCAGAGTTGCAGAGCGCGTCGTAGTCGCCGGCGACGCCGATTTTGGCGGCCATGGCCTCAATTTGTTTCTGGTTCGGGACGACCAAGGCGACCGTGAACAGCTTCGTAGGGTCGCCGTAGATGCAAATGGTGTCCACGATAGGGAGAGTCGACAATTCCGTCTCCACCTTTCCGAGGGACACGTACTCGCCGTACTGCAGCTTCACCAAGTCCTTCTTTCGATCTAAAAGAAAGGTTTTTCAATTTCGGAAGTGAGCTTACACTTATAGAGATCACGAAAAGCAATTCGTATTGAGAGAATTTCGTTAAAAAAAGACTCTTAAAATACAACATACAAATGCACAGTAAATCCCATTTTCAAAAATTCAGGCTTTTAACGAATTTCGTCCTAGTCCCTCGTCATACTCCTGATTGCTTCGCTGTCGAATCTTACAAAAATTCTACGATATTCTGCAAAAATTTGCTGAATTTCCTCTACATCAATAATATACAGCACGTAAAATAGGAGTTCGACTTCCGCGCACAATTAGAAAAGAGAAGGCCAATTTAAAAGCTGCATAAATGTGACCACATTTATGCAGCTTTTATGACTACAGTAGACTATTGTTACCACTCTCGTTATAACAAAACAATTGCTTACAACGAAGTCGTTTTTAGGTCTCTGCCCAATAGCCACAATGCTAAATGAGTTACTTCATCGCGAATTTCTCGTTACAACGAGGCTATCTTATTGGTTTCAATGACTTCCTAATTCAACCCATATAAGATTGCATGCAAATTTCTAAAAGTGACAGATTTTCTTAAAAAGAAAAAACTACGCCCCAAAAATGTTCATCACACCTTCCGGCGACTTTTCCCCGAATATTAAAAATAATTCACAGCATTTGAATGTTAATAATAATGGAAATCTCTGAATGTTAGAAGTTCGCTCCTCGTCAATAAATCGGCAAGATCGAGGAACAAAATTGAATACGAATACGACGTAATACTCCAAAAATCTCAATCAAGAGATTCATATAAAACTGCCCCGTAAATCCCCCCAGGCAAAACATCCACAGAATAAACTAACCAATGATTTTAACAACGCCTTCCGGAAGCATTTCCCCGATGTCTCCCGACTTGAACCATCTCCTGATGCCTCCGTTAACTTCATCCAGCGTTTCGTAAAAGTCTTCGGCCGTTTTCTGCGGGTTTTTGTAGTATCCCATCGATACATTGTCGCCTCCAATGTGCACCTCGCCCCGTGGGTTCGGAGAGTCCGTCACCTTGTAGTTGCCTTCGTCCCAGTTCACCAGCTTGATGTCGCAGCAAGATAAGGGGGAACCCACAGAGCCCAAGTTCATATCATCCCCTGCGATATTAATAAGAAGCAAAATAAAGCGGAGTTCTGTAATTGACGGAGAATCGAAAAGGTGTCGATGAACTTGACACGACACTCGTACTCGTCTCCCAGCAAGTGTGGATTTTTGAAATAATAATGTTCAAGCAATCCAGTTCAGTAACCCCAGGAAAAATTGCTCTAAATTAGACGAGCAACTTTCAAAAATATCACGTTCACACGATCGAAAGTACTGAAAGCGCAAGTTTCAAAAACTAGAAAAGCAAAAGAAAAAATAGAGTGATCAGAAAATCAAGCAAAAACTTTTACGTAAATTGAAGTTGATGATACCGTAATCGCGTAATCGTTCACTACAGTCGATCCTTCCTGAGTCAAACTTCAAAAAACCAGCAAATAAAATCGAATTAGGGATACGAACATTTTCAATGGAGAACCGAATGAAGAATTGTACGAAATTTTAATCGGTGATATTCTGGGCCCTAAATTACTTTATAAATGAGTTGACAGGATGCTGAACTTGGAGGTAGGGGTTGATTTTCCCAAGTAGCCTTTCAATTCTTTTCAAAACACACCAAGATACATTTTTAATTGCTTTTCTCTTTTCCGTGTCAATAAAATAATGGGCTAAAAAGCCTCCGAAAATATCCAATTGCGGAGGTAAGTCTTCGAATTGGGAGGTTTTTAATGGATAGTTACTCAGGAAATTGAGAGAATTATTTGAAAGCAAAATCGAAATAGGGAGGTTCCAATTATCGATGTTCAACTGTAGCTATTTTTGGTAGAATCAAACAAAATAATTTTTCCCAACCTCAGCAATTAAAAAAAAAAAATATCCCCCAGACGAGTTCACCCAACACCAATTGAGACCCCGAAATGATGATCTTCCAGCGAAAACATAATCTGAATTCAATCAAGAGAGTCAAAAACCCCTTTCGAAGGGTCCAATCCATCTCCTTACATGTCATGAGAAACATTTACTCACAAGACTGAAGAGTGGCAGCAGCAGTAGTTTCCGTTAAACCATATCCTTGCACCACTTTGCATCCCAAGCAAGTTCTGATGAATTCCTGCGTCTCAGGTGACAACGGGGCTCCACCCACAGCAATTCCTCGCAAACGTCCTCCAACAATGGCCTTCACTTTGCCAAAAATGATCCTATGCAACAACAAGAACACACAAAACCTCGTCAGTTAATTCAACCATAGCACAAAACCAAGTCATGCAAAAATGAGGAAATGCGTCTAAAGCTTCTGAAAAAAATACATTGATTCAAGTGTTCGTCGCGAAGATCCGAAATCAGACACGAGTAAAACATCCAGAAAAGTTTTCTCCCTCGTATAACCGAAAACATCGATTCAAAAATTTCGGCGACTTAAAAACAACTGAAACCTACTCCACCATATTCTACAGATTCACTCCACTCCTATCTAGCACCGAATTTAAAGTACAGTACCACTGAACGGAAATGCCCGAAAGAACTCACTCGTATCGTCAATTCAACTGACAAACAGGAAATACGGAAAATGAAGTGAGATAAAATCTCACCATTTTAGAAATGAAAAAAGTCGATCTTTCAAATGCGAAAATACGCCACGAGTTAAAAACAAACGTACAGAACAGAACACGAGAAACACAGTTTATGAAGCACGTGAAATTTTGATAAAATGCGTGCACATTTGCAAATACAGTAGAATCTCGTTATAACGAATAATCACTTAAAATGAATCCTTTTTTAGGTATCCGGCCAATAGCCACAATACTATATTAAATTATTGAAATGACGAATTTTTCCTTCCAACGATCCTACTGCATTCACTCAAGTAGGACGCGCACCCGTATTTTTCAGTCTAAAATTTTGATATAATCCCATCCACAGTAAGATGCGTAATCCTCTTTTTAGCTACTCTAAAACCGCAATATTTCAACATCGAGACAGATTAGAACTCAAATATAGGCACGAAAAGAGCCTGAGATCAACTAATTTAAAATTTGTTCCATTAAGAATAGTTTTACTGGTAAAATTCGTCCAAAATTTCGAACGAGAATCAAATATAACCCGCACAGAAACTTGTAAAACTTCCTGAAAAATTTTCAACCGCCTTCCTTTTCTTCCCTCTCAATTTCGATCGAGAAAAAAGATGCCTGCGGAACTTGAGTAAATATTATATTCTACTGATCCCAATAGTTTATTATTATCTTGTCTAACAAGCTTTATGATAAAAAAAAAAGAGAGCTCACCTGTCCAGCATCGGAGTCGTGTAACCATAGCTGGCCCATCTTCGTTTGTAATCAAAGGCGAACTTGAATATCGCCCTCTGAAGCGGCGAACCCTTGCTCACCTTTTCCGTGATGGCTTTATAGATTCGGTCGAGGATAAGTGGTACTGAAGCCATGATCGTCGGTTGCAACACAGTCGCATCTCCCTTCGATCCGCGCATAATTTTACTGGCTGTATCCGTTATGGTCAAGGGACTCGAATAACCAATCCGGACTCCAACCAACAAACATACGGACTCTGCAATAGACGAGACATCAATTTACAATATTCCAGATTAATGATAAGTAAGACGCTTGGAACTCAAAAAAAAAAATACTTCTAAATTTTTTGGAGGCTGAAAAGGAACGTAATGAAAGAGTCGCTTTGACAAAAGGTGGAACTGGGGCTTTATCCTGCATAGTGACGTGCTGTTTGGTAAAGACAACTCAGCTGGGTCTAATCCATCAATTTCTGTGTCCCCCAAAAACCAAGCACTTCTGCAGAAAGCTGCGAAATTTTTGAGGGATTTGATGAAATCAGTGGCCGTCTTAAACAGGGCGGCCAGCCCAGGAATGAAAGGATTTTTATTCCACCGAGTCAATGGACCCCTTTTTTTTCGAAGGGTAAGCCCCTCGGTGGATAGAAATGCCAAATGTCCAGAAGCACATGCATTTTTTTGGTGTGATAGATAGAAGAATTGCAGGAATTCGTAAAAGGCGATATTTTGGGCCTGAAATTGCTTCTCAACTAAGCTGAGAGGAAGCTGAATGTCCAGGCAAGGGTTCATTACTACAGTTAAGTCTCTCACTTCCTTCCAAAACACACAAAATAACTTTTTAGACTGTTTTTCTCTTACCTGTGTCAAGAAAATAATAAGGCAATAGGCCTCAGAAAATTCGAGTAACGGAGGTTTGAGAGGAGAAACCTTCGAACCAGAGAGCTTTAACGCATTGTTTTACAGAGAATTCAGACGGGGACTTGAAAAACTTCGACTTATGGAGGTATTCGACTTTGGGATGTTCAACCAAAATAAATGCTTCACACTTTGAACGTAAAGATTAAATTGGATTCGTCTTCCTCAGAGTGAAATCAAAACCGCTATTGTGAAGTGATCTCGCAGAGTTTTTCATTTATCACAAATATAAAGGTCTTATTATTTTCTCAGTACTCTAATATACTTTAACCTAGAAACACTTTCAAAGACCACCATTAGAATTTCATCACATACAAATTTCTGTCATGGGTTACGCATTCATAGGCACTGAGTTTACAAGCAGGTAATAACTAATATATTCACATGAAGACAAATTCATCTTTCGAACACAAGATTTGGATCGAAAAAAGTCTGGTAAGTAATATTTTTTTTCGACATTCGAAATCACATGACATGACATGACTGGAGGGAAGAAAAAACGTAGAAGTTTCTCACCGGCTAGCAATTCAAGTACGTGAGCCAGAGGCAAAAATCCCATGAAAACATCGTCCGGCAAAAAGTCAAGTTGCGCAGAAAACGACACCATGGATGCCACCAAATTGCAATGCGTCAGAACGACTCCCTTCGGTGTTCCAGTAGACCCACTGGTGTACATAATGATTGCGGTGTCTGAAGGTTTCGGTGGACTGGGTTCTGTGGAGGATTCAAAAAAAAAAAAAAAAACGAAAGAAATTTTCGATTCCTCACATGGACGACGAAATTGCAAAATAATAATGTCACTCACTCTCATCAGCTCCTCCTCCGATTTCGATGACTTTCTTGAAAGCGGTGAACTGTACATCCGGGCGAAAACCGTCGAATTTCGACTCATGAAGCTGATGTTCCATGACGACAACATGCTTTACTTTCGGAGTAATCGGCAAAATCTTCTTGAACTTCGGTAACAATTCATACGAGGTAATGATGTGCGTCACTTCCGTTTCGTTGATCCCATGAGCCAGAGCGTCTTCGCCCAAAGTCGCATACAGAGTAACAACTTCAAAAAAAGAAAGAAAAATGCGGATTTCGTAGGACCCGAATAAAGAATAGTACCTTAATTTCTATGAGGTAAAGCATATGCTAGCTATGCAAGTATGAACTGCACCCAAGTTTACGCAACAGCAAATCATAATGTTTAAAAATCGCAAGCAGCAATTAAATAAATTTTGAATTAATTATAATTCCGTACAATGGAGGGAGATTTGTTCCTGTGACATTTGTGACACTATTTACGAATTGCACTAAATTGACGGTTGACTAAAATACTTTGAATATATTTTTTAAATCACTTCTGGTAACTTCAATAAAAGTTTCTTCACAGAAATCTCACTGTAACTCTGAAAAAAACATGCTTCCAATACAAGTAAAGACACCATCTCCAACTGAGCATAAATTCAGTTGTATAAGTATAACTACTGGTGGACTCTCTCCAATGATATTCGAGGGAACATGAACAAATTCTTTGTTAAGAGGACTTTGTTGTAGAGAACTCCCATAAAATGCCGAGAGAACCCTCAGGGAAAAAATTCGTTATACCGTACGGTACAGAGAAAATCGTCGTAGACAAGATTGTTGTAGAAGGAGTCCACCTGTACTAAGCATAAAAGTAAACAAGCTTTTGAGATGCTGTCACTTTAAAATTGTTCCAAAATTTCTAGAAATTCCTTCCACCTACGTGATGCAAGTGTCACTTGCATACATTCTCAGTACGGATTTTTAAACTCGAAAAAAAAACAGGCGTACCTGGTACAGCGATTAAAAACAGTTATTTAACATCGACAGTGAGTTTCCCTTACTTGGAATGTTGAACTTCATACAGCCATAGGCAGCGACAAGCCATTCAGTCCTCGTTTCAGCCAAAATAACAACGTTCCGCTTTGGCATTTGTCCGAGAGAAATCAAACCCGATCCGAAATTCGTCGACTGCTGGTCTATCTGAGCGTAGGTCCTCCACTCATAATCACCCAGCACGAACTGCAAAATTTTTCCCAAACAAAAAAGGTCAAGTCTTCTCAATTGAAGCATTAGTGGCGCGAAGTCGCTTTCGGGATGTCTGGAACATGTTGCCCAAATCCCGGATTCTAGGAACGGAAACCGAAACTAACCTGGTGAAGTAACCTAATTTAATTTGTCTTAAATTTTAAAATTTCGGCTACGCCTACGAGATGAAACACAAAATCTTGAGTTCGAAAATTGTGAAAAATTTGAACTAGGGTGAATGATGAAAGGAAGCTCATCTCTAGAACATGATCACATCTTTGGGTCGAATCAATTCATCTTTAGATACGAATATTAGGCTCCAGAAGAGCCTGAACAAGTTCACATTTCTAATTCACGTCAGCCAATAAATCAAGTTCACAAGAATGGTATCTCAGAGATCTAATTCTAATTAGAAAAATTCCATCTGCGAGCTCTCGAACTACGAGGAGAATATCAAACAGATAGAAAGAATCTCGTCGTACAAGAAAAACTCTCATAATCATCAATCATTAGCAGACAAATTCGTCGTACGAAGACCTTCGTCGAAGAATAAATCATGCTCAGAGAGATTTCCAGCGGAGTTCTCATTTGGTAACATCGCAGACTTGACTTACTCAAAACACTTATTTCTCAAATGCCATAAATCTTAAAAACTCGATGAAATTCGGATACACTACAGTATTCGGAACACAGAGGCTGAAAAATTCGCAAGAACCTTTTGAAAGACACGTCCATCAGCCTGTTCTTCTCCCTTTTCCTCCAGAAGTTGCCTCGTACCAAGAGCAGGTAGAGCATGATGCGTACGAACGGCATGCGAAAATACTCCAACCATAGTATCAATTCCTTCGTCCCTAAGCTGGATCTGCAACTGCTTCATCGGTGTCATGCTTCGGTAAGTTATGTGACTCGATTTGGTCTCTACGACTTTCGCCTGAATGGAAAAAGGAAAAAACCCCTTCATTATATTTTACCCACGGCGAGAAGAAGGCGTCAAACCGGATAAAATTGCAACTCTCTCCTAAGCAGAATTCTCCGAATAAACCCGGAGAATTTAGCAGCCTTCGCCATGAATTGACACCGTAGAAGTTAATGATAATCTCAAGATGGTAATTAAATTTGAGAATTCTTTACCCTTTTCCGCCGAGCGTTGTTGATGGTGTTCCATGGTTGCACCAAAAGGGTGTAAACTGGATACGTGACGACATCGTATATAAAAACGCTTATTTGCACGGCCGCGATGGCTGCCGATGTGAACACACTGTTTTTCGCATCCATTTTTCACAACACAGAACTTGACACGATAAACGACCGGAGATCAGAGATTCACGCTGCTTCCATTTCCCGCGAGAAGAAACTGCGTGTTACGATTTCGACCGTTGTTCAGTTCACAAAAAAAATCGCTTGAGAACATACGAAAAACGATGCGAAAATGTTACAGCATCAGGTGCAACCACTGCGAAAAACCGTAATGGCAACAGGAGAAGCACATCGGGCTTCCCCTGTAGGAACACGTGGACAAGAATCATTTCAAGCATTTTCAACTGAATCATGCTCCAGTTTGAAACGTTAGTCATCACATCTCAACCAACTCGTCAAACGAAAAAAAAAAAAAAAAAAACTGGGAGAAGAATCATACGTTTCGAAGGAAAATAGCCTCACTGCAAACGACAAAATGAACTACAGTACAGTGATTCCACAGCGTTAACCATCTATATTAAAAGGCTCCTGAGGAAACCGAATGGGATTACAGCAGTGTAAAGCGAAGATCGCCACGGAATAAATGAAAATTCAACTATCAATTCATCATCACGAACCGGTTGACAAGAACACAATTAATACGGATACTAGTCACAATCGTCTCCATGAACTTCAGGTACTGTATTTTAGGATTCGGAATCCTCCGAGAATCAAAATTTCAGGAGCTCGTGACGCGGGAAATACGGAACAGTTATCCAGTACTGTACTACGAAGGACATACCAAACGTCAACAATTCCGAAAATCCAACGCGCCGGTGGGGGTCGATGAAACTCCGGTGTATTGTGAAATACTGTAAGGACCCAAATACGATAGACCCTAGCAAAGCATCGAAAGTTCAATAGCCGAACTCTCCTATAGCGAAATACCAATTGGTTCATATCTTCGTTTTGGTTTGCGTCACCATTTTCTTCGGTACAAATTTGTCAACACTGAGCAGGTGAGCCACAGTTTCAGTGTCTGATTCTATTGCACAGTACTGAAGGGGTCACTATTCGTCATTTCATATTTGCTGTAACTGTGTCATATGGGGGACTGCACCAGCAATAGCACCACACATTATGTTTTAAACATTCAAGTAACCATTCCAGCTACTGAGCAGGAACCTTAGAAAAAGAATCTGTTTCTACGACAGTAATTCATGATTGTCTAGACTAATTACAATGCATACTAATTCTTAAAATTTGACATGGAAAATGGGACTCGCATGTTACACTCAATTACAAATCATCAAAAAATGTTTGCTCAAAACCTTCCTGATAAAATTGGAGCCTTCTTATAGTTCTTACACAGGTGCCTTACATACGTGTGTATATGACAGCTATGTGTGTACTGTTAATTTTCAAATTGGACAAACAAGCAGACATATCTACAGTGGTGAGACCCCATCTTGCTGGAGCAGAACTCTACGCCCCTGCGCCCCCCATCCCCTCAGTACACATAGTTTGCAGAACCAATTATAAGATTTCTTTAAAACTTATTCACTAAGTACAGTAGCCAAATGATATATAATTTTCAATCACCACCAAGTGAGCATTTATGAAGTACCCAAAGGTTAAGAAAAGGTGTCAAAATACATACTCAGCAGTCAATATACATATGCTGTGAATCAATGGACAGTCCAAATGGGGATGGGGGAAAAGTAGAAATACCCACATATGCTTTATTCTTGATTGCTGCACAGATCACTGAAATAAAAAAAAATTTAAATCTGAGAAGTCTAAGCTATAATAACATACTTGAATAAATTTAGTTCCTTTCTCAACAAGCAGTGATTCCAGCATCAATCCTCAAGAGAACAGCAGTTGTCAGAACAGTACTTACGGTATCAATGATATCCGAGTCTCTGGCAAGGAATTGGGGGGCCGCATCGGGAAATCACCACCTTTCGTCTCGTCGGTGCCGTGCACGAATCCCCCCCCCCCCAGACGGCATAGCGCACACTGGAGTACACCCTGCCTAGGTAGGGTGTACTCCTGGAGTGCATCCTGCCTAGGCAGGGTGTACTCCTGGAGTACGATTTTGGGGGAGTACGCTGTGCCGCCCACACCGGCGTATTGTGAAATACTGTAAGGACCCAAATACGATAGACCCTAGCAAAGCATCGAAAGTTCAATAGCCGAACTCTCCTACAGCGAAATATCAATTGGTTCATATCTATGTTTTGGTTTGCGTCACCATTTTCTTTGGTACAAATTTGTCAACACTGAGCAGGTGAGCCACAGTTTCAGTGTCTGATTCTATTGCACAATACTGAAGGTGTCACTATTAGTCATGTCATATTTGCTGTAACTTTGTCATATGGGGGACTGTACCAATAGCATCACATTATTATTTTTTAAACGTTCAAATAACCATTCCAGCTGCTGAGCAGGAACCTTAGAAAAAGAATTGTTTCTACGACAGTAATTCATGATTAATTGTCTAGACTAATTACAATGCATACTACTTTTTAAAATTTGACATTGAAAATGGGACTTGCATGTTACACTCAATTCCAAATCATCAAGAAATGTTTGCTCAAAACTTTCCTGACAAAATTTGAGCCTTCTTATAGTTCTTACACAGGTGCCTTACATACGTGTGTATATGACAGCTATGCGTGTACTGTTAATTTTCAAATTGGACAAACAAGCAGACATGTCTACAGTGGGTGAGACCCCATCTTGCTGGAGCAGAACTCTTCGCCCCTGCGCCCCCCATCCCCTCTGTACACATAATATAATGCCAAAGTTTGCAGAACCAATTATAAGTTTTTTCTTCGAAACTTATTCACTAAGTACAGTAGCCAAATGATATATAATTTTCAATCACCACCAATTAAGCATTTATGAAGTACCCAAAGGTAAAGAAAAGGTGTCACCAGTCAATAGATACTCAGCAGTCAATATACATATGCTGTGAATCGATGGACAGTCCAAATGGGGATGGGGGGAAAAGTAGAAATACCACAAATATGCTTTATTCTTGATTGCTGCACAGATCACTGAAATAAAATAAAAATAAAATCTGAGAAGTCTAAGCTATAATAAAATACTTGAATACATTTAGTTCCTTTCTCAACAAGCAGTGATTCCGGCATCAATCCTCAAGAGAACAGCAGTTGTCAGCACAGTACTTACGGTATCAATGATATAGGAGTCCCTGGCAAGGAATTGGGGGGCCGCATCGGGAAATCACCACCTTTCGTCTCGTCGGTGCCGTGCACGAATCCCCCCCCCCCCTAACTTCCGCTGTCCTACCAGCACTCGTGCCCGCCGCGCGCTTCCGAAAATTTGCGACAACACTGCTCAAGCCGCCCCGTCCAACCAACGCGAGCTCAGCTTCATCGTACGATGTCCACGTGTTCCCCATACGTCATTCCAACCGGAAGGCACCGTTTTCTCCCCCCCCCCCCTATGTGCCGGAGTGACGCAAGTTTAATGTGCAACCGTCGCGGGGTTCCGCGTAATTTTCTTTCGGAGTGTTATGACCCATGTGATGAAATCAGTTTGTCAAGCCGTGTTGAACTTCTGATCACACCGACGAATCAAGGCATAGACACGGCCTTGATCTGTCTAGCTATTCTAGCCGATTATCTGCCTCACAAACTGTAGAACCCCGAAGAAAACACACTTGATCAGCAATTATGTCTTGCCCAACAATCTTTTGTTCCAATATATTCTACTGCCAACTCACAAAGAATGTTCTGTATGATATATACCATATGTGTGTACAGTATATGGTATATTTTCCAGGAAGAACCCCTTACAGCACCTTTTTTTTTCTTCTTTTTTTAACCTGCATTATTCTCTACCAAGTCGTACACCGTCTTGAATTTTACAGGAAACAGTGTCAGCTAGTACATTTGGGAAATTGGCAGGATAACTCAAAAAAGGCGCCCGGAGAAGGAAAAAATATGACTGTCATTAAACGCATTGCAAATTAAAGAAGGCTCAATTAAGTTTTAAAAAGTATGAATTTCCATTTGTATTTGATTCAGAATTATTTTTTTTCCTTTTCCTGCCTTCCATAAAGAAAAGGTGCATGTGGTAGCTGGGTATGATACAGTATATGATTTCATTGTACAATTGTTCAGAGTTGGCCTTTGCTGGTGACTTTTTCACTTGGGGAATTTTCTGTACATGGGTACTCATATTTCCCCACTGTCACAGGCAAAAAATGTGACTGCTGCCAGTAGAACAAGCTTTTCAGCTGAGGTCATGCAAGAGAATCTCTGTCATTTTGGGAAGGAGCATTTTTTGTGGTGAGGGGAATGCATGAGACTGCATACAAGTGCAAAAAAAAAACAACTGTTCATGACAATGCAGCACAGGCATGACCACTCAAATGGACAAAGCATGATGCTGAGAAAATGAGTTCACAAGGAAAAAACCTTTCATAACAATTTTTGAAGGGGAATTTAAATCTGACTCCTACCATTTTGCATACAAAAGCATTGAGAGATGCATTGTACAATACTTGGTTGACTTGCATTGCATTGTGATCCAAAACAAATATCTACTGGTGATGTGGAATAATTTTTCTGACATGCAGGCAAGAGGCAAGGAATTTCTACAAGTCAGCACTGTTTTGTGGACAGTGAAAACAGATAACGCCCCCTGAACAAAATGACTCAGGAAAATATCACCCCCTACCACTCCATTCTGCAACATTGGAAGCTGCTCCTGCTCAGCAAAGGGCGGGAAAAAATCACTTGAACAAAAAGTGCATAAAAACAATTTTCTTGTAGGGATTGATTGAACATAAAAAGCACCATTTACAGAATAAAAACTGCATTATACTGTACATTACCATAAAACTTTGTCAGAAAAGAGCTGATGTATATGGACCTGAAAAACCTTTTCTCTCTTGACAAACACATGTTGCACCAAGAGTGGCTACATCTACTATACAGGGGCTCAAAGAATGGCTTTTTTCTGAACAGCAATTTGCCATATACAGTAGCAAGTTGTGTTATTGTAATAATATTCCAATGTTAAATTGTTTGCCTTCTACCTGATTATCCCACGCAGTGTGGTACAAGTGGACTCTCTCAATAATTGTTTAAAATGAGTTTCTCTGCATAATGAATTTCTCCTTGGTCCATAGGGTTCTCTCCCCACATTATAGGGGTTTGTACACCAAAATTATATCAACAAACTTTTTTCTGGTCTATTGCATT